TCCTGACTCTAGTAAAGTTTCTAAAACATGCAAAGAAAGAAACCGTTCTTATTTTTTTCAAATATCATGCAATCTAGTTTTGGAGTTCATACATATAGCCTATGGCATACATAAACTTACCAATCAATATATGCCTTCAAAAACTTAACATAAGGAAGAAACAAAGCATACTACTGGAGGGATAGTAAGAGTGGAGTTTGAAGTTCATCATAGGAGATTAGTGTTCTTAGTTCATTTCTGCTGCTGTAACACAATATCACAGATTAGATAAATTATAAATAAATTAATCTGATGCAATGTTCAAGGGGTTGGAAGTTCACATGCTGGTAAGAGCCTTTTTACACAGCATGGCAACCAAGCAAGCACATGTGTGGGGGGATATTGGGCCTACTTCATCTTCTTTATTAGGAAGCCACTCCTGATGTAACTAATCCGTACCACTGACTACTGCATTAATCCATTCCTGAGGGCACAGCCTTCCTGGCCTAATCCCTTTTTCATGTTTTCACTTCTAAATGCTCTAAATAGTTTTTAAATGGCCATATGATTGAACATGGAACTGTGGAGAGACATTCAAGCTGCAGCAGGTGTCTAAAGCAGCCTGATGCTATAAACAAGGTCCTGTTCTAGACTAAAAAAATTAAAGTGAGTGGGGGGCTTTCTCTTTGCTTATGTTAATGTGAAATTACTGAGTCCTTGGAAGCTGCAGTACTGCTCAAACAGCAAATATTTACAAAAGAGAATGCAGGAGGCAAAGAAAGGCCTCATGATCTAGAGCAGTGGCAGGGAGGCGAGCTGCACCTGTAAATCTCTGGAGAGCAGAGTGCTAAATAAGTGGTTTCTTCTCAGGAGGCAGATGTTTATCAGCAAATGCTCCTCAGAAGTGCACTTGTTAATCTGCATGGGGTGATGTCCAGGCACTTTTGTTTTCAAAGGTCTTATTAACAAGATGAGGAGGGGGTGGCTTGACAGCTGCTCTTGGCTCTATATCCACGAAGCAGCGCTGCACAGTATTTATGCCCATGACTAATCACAGACCTTTCCTTCTAAGACACAGGCTGTGCACATGTTTGTGCATAAGTGTGCATAGCCACAGACTTTACCTGATTCTGGCATAGCAACAGAAATTAACTGATTTAATTTGTTGCCAGGATGCAGAACCAGTGATCTCAATGCTAGGATACAGCATCCTGGTTTCAAGGCAGACTAAGCAAGAGGACATGAAAGTAAGTTTGCTTAAGACATTTGAACTTGGAGATGCACAAGGAGGAACATGAGAAAAGGTCAAGAATCCTAACCACCGGCAGGACCTTGCAAAAGAAACCTGAAACATCAGTGGAGTAATGTTCCTGAAAATTTTAGGCCGCTGCTTCTAAATCAACAGTGGAAGACTGTAGGACTTGAGCAACACAAAGGCAAGAAGGAACTGGAACAAACTCTCAGAGAATGCTATTTTCCAGGAGGACAAGGAGTTTGGCTGTCCCTCTATACCCAGTCCTTGTACAGGATCTGGCCCAATGCATATTTGATGAATGAACATACAAATTAGTGGATATGAATGAATGAACCCACTTCATATTATAACAAACACACCAACTCTTAGAAATCTCAGCCACAGGAAAAGCAGAGGGAATGTGTCCAGCCAAGTGCTTCCTATCAGGTCTTGAACACTGAACTCAATAGAAGACAATTTTGAAAGGTAAGTGGTTTTCCTCTTAATTGCTAACAATCTTGGCCCAGCCCTGATAACAAGATGCCAATCAAATCTACAAAATAACAAGCCTTCTTTCAATTTTTAACTGAAGGATGTAATAGAAATATATGCACGATAGCAAAGCCATGGGCACCGACACACCTATCTCATGGGAAGGAATACCCACATCCTTTCCCCTGCTGGACGCATGCTTTATCCCTCAAAAGCTGGGGTAAAAAAAACACTCAGATGAAGTTCTCTCCACTCGGTAGCCATTTTTAGAGCTATCATTACTCCATTTCTCTTTTCTACTCCCCTCTCAACGTAATATGCCCACAAATGTTTGCCATTTCTATTACCAAACTCTTTGCACAATTCATCCTTGTTCATCATCCAGAAATCTCAACTTTTCCCATCCCTGGAAACCCTGCCTACTTTTTGAGTAAAACTTTGGGTGACATCTAAATCCAAACCTGACTTTTTAACTTGATAAAACCCAATAATTACTCTGCTTTCTTAAATCAGATATCCTGCTAATCCGATACAAATCAGCCAAAATTAGCACTTTCCTTCCCCCTCAGTGCCAATGGCACTAAATGACTCACCCTTGCCATGCACCAGCTTCTTCAGCTTTCTGGCTTGAGCTGACATCCTTTGTCACAACACCAGCTCATTTTGTAACCACTCTGCTCTACCATCTTTTCATCCACACTGATTAACCAGCTCCAGAACTCTGGTCTCCAATTTAAATATCACACTTGGCTCCCCTGCCATATTATGGTCATGGCAGAAAATACTCTGCTCTCTGGCGTAATGGGGAAGAATTTTGATTACTCTATATGCCAAAGGAGAGGGTGCACATTTATCATACTTGGGTGGTCAATCTTCAAATAGAGTAATTACATGATAAAATATAATAATGGGTATTCAGTTTTAATGTCTTTTCTTTGATGATGCAGAAGGTGCTAAGGGAATGTTGTGATATTTGTAAGCATTGTGAATATCAGCAATTTTATAGTCTTTCTCCTCATGCATCTGATCTACTCAGAAATAATGTACAGAGCATGAAGCCTATGAGGTTTCTAAACCATCTGAAGCTTTGGACAACTTTTTACAATTACAAAAGAGAACTGAATCCAACCTACTTCTACACTAAGCTGAGGTGGGCTCCTTTCTTCTACAATATAACTTTGGGGGACACAGATATGACTGATATTTCTTAACTTTATTCAATTAATTTGAAGTCCTAGGGATGAAAGAGATTCTGCAAACCAAGTTCTGGAGATGATCAAAGTTTCCCTAAAGTGTGCTGTACATACGTCAGCTTTCCCAGTAGCCTTTAAATACTGCCTAGACCAAGGTGGAGAAAAACCTAACGATGACTGGAAAAAATGGCTTATGTAAGATAACCTATTGAAACACATCTTGGAGCAAACTGCTACCTTTTCTGGGAAAAAAAAGTTGCATGATTTTTAAACCAAACATTCTAATATTAGGATATTTTCTCCTGGAACCCTTCAAATTTCCATGTGCACATTTCAATGGAAGTGTTTACAAAAAAAAAAACCTATCAACATCAGGTTGAAATATTTTTCATTAATGATAACTTAGGACCATCTACCAAGATAATCGGGTTTTACAGGTCTTCATTGAAAAGTTGCACAAAATAAATAAAACAATGTCAGGCAATTAAAGGCAGTAAGCACTAAAAAAAAAACAAAGAAAAAAAATTTTTTTTTTGGTACTAGGAATCAAACTCAGGATCTTGCATTTGTCAGGTAGGTACTGCACTGCTGAGCGATATCCCTAGTCCTGAAATTCTTTTAGTTTTTTTGTTTGTTTGTACTGAGAATCGAACCCAGGACCTCACACTTGCCAAGCAGGTGCAGTGCCAGGCAAGCATTGTGTCACTGAGCTATATCCCCAGCCCATTCTTGTAGATAATCTGGAAGGCAATGTCACTTTCCTTTGAGTTGCTCTCTGGATAGAATAAGCAGGTTTACAAAAGTTCAAAGTTTTCAGCTGCCACAAGCCTCACACAAGTTGTCACATTACTTTTGCATTAGAGATGACAGAGATTGTGATAAACATCACTTGAGTATGTGGTTTCCATTTCTTTCGTTTCATAGTCCATATAACCTCAGGCTTCTCAAAAAGTTGTTTTTAATCCAAGATCCTTTCTTAGGCAAGAATTAAGTCTGCTTGTCTTGTGAGTCTCCAAAAAACTACTGGATTCACCATACCTCTCCCTTACTCAAAATTTTACTTTTTCATGGTTTCAGTTAATTGTGGTTAACAACTATGAGACAAAATCCTTAAATGGAAAATTGCAGAAATATGCAAGTCGTCTAAGTTTTAAGTTGCCCATCACTGTGGGTAGCATGCTGCAATCTGGCATTGTCCCTGCTGTTCTACCAGGCACATGGATGATCCCTTTGTCCAGCACCCTTGCTGTTCAGTGCTCATCCTTTGGTTAGCAACTGTCTTGGTGATCGGACCAACTGGTACAATACTGCAATGCTTCTGTCAATTGATCCTCATTTATTTAATAATGGCCTTCAAAGAGCAACAGCAGTGATGCTGGCAAATCAGGTAAGCCATTAAGAAGCTGTAAAATGCTTCCTCCGAAGTGAATCATTAAAATTCTGAAAACTTGAGGAAAAAAAAATATCCCTAAGATCTATGGTAAGAATACATCTTTTGTGAAATAGTGAAAAGCATATCCGTGCTAGTTTTCTACTGCACCCAAACATCAAAAGGCTACAGCCAAAGTAAGTGACAAGAGCTCAGTTAAGATGGAAAAGGCATTCAACTGGTAGAAGTCTGTGCAAGAGAAGACAGCCTATGTGTACACAGGGCCTGGGACTGTTAATGGCGTCAGGTATCCATGAGGTCTTGAAGCAACACCCTCAAGGATAATGAGGAACTATTACAATAATACTTAAAGGCAAGATTGGAGGCAAAGGCATTTTTTAAATTATATTTGAAGAATGCAGGGATAAATAGAAGATCTTCCAAAATTAACTGAGGACCCATCATGAAACAAGCACTATTTCAGGTACTATAAACAAAAATATAAGTTTTCACACATGTGTGTGTTCAGTTCAGTCACATCAGATGTTTTCAAAATTCTTCTCCACTCCTCCAGCCACCAGCCATCAAAGCCCCACTGTCTGGGAGCTACCAGCGCACAAACACATCACACTCTTGCCTGTGCCTGCTGTGCACTTTGGTTAAAACGTTCTCCTCTTTCAAATGTTCGACACATACAAACATGATATACAAAAATCACAGCACCAGATTTGGGTTATCATTTCACATTGTCTTTATTTTTAACAACACAGTCAATACATGTATTAATGTATCATACTGATTTACAAAATGGTATCTTACAAAGAAAAATACCACATGTAGTGAACACCCATAGACCTCCCACCCTAGAACTAGAATATTCCTCATAACTATCACATACCATTGTGTTTCTCTCTTCCTTTTTATTCTCCCTCCATAGGCAATGACTAAGCTAAAGTTTGACTTATTGTTCTGTTCTTTTTCTAAACCCTTTATAATATAGTTTTGTCACATATTCATGTTTAAACAATATATTGGTTTTGCTGATGAGCTCAATAAAAATAATACCATACCACATGTGGTCTCCTACAACTCATTTTTTCCCAAGTAATATCTTCTGAGATTCATTTTTTTCCCTGAGATTCATTCTTACTGTGAAATACAGCGGTAGTTCATTCACCACAGAATAGTATCCCTTTAGGGTAAATGTATCTAATTTATGAATCCAATCTTCTGTAGACATTTCCATTTTTTCCAGTTAATAATTATCAACATGTTACTATGAACATGGCTGAACATTCCCGAGTATAGTAAAGCACAGGATTCTGCTGAATTTCTAACTAGCCAGGTCCACAACTGTTTTCTTAAGAAGTGGCACTGTGTGACACAGTATGTGAGTTCCCACATATCTTCTCTAATGACTGGTTCTGTCAGGCCCAATTTTTGCAAATCTTATTAATATAATGTGGACTCTCACTGTGATTTTAATTCATACTCCTCTGATCACTAATGCTTTGTCTGTCTGTCAGCGCAATGTGAAAGCCCTGAGTCCTTTCAATATTTTTAAATAGAAATCCTCTATATTTTCAACTGCTGATCCTTTCTCAGTTATTTTAATTACAAAAGTTCTTCTCAAGTTGTGCCTTGTCTTTGCACTTCAACTTTAGTTTTGGTAGGCCTGATGTAATAGTCATATTTTATCATTTTTTACGATTAGTGCTTTCTCTCTCAAGAAATCCTTTGCTGCATGTCTTTTTCCTGCGAACATTCACTATTTTCCCTTTTCTATTAAAGTTTTTTACATGTTTGGAATGAATGCTCAGGAAGGTGTGAGGCAGGAATCAGCTTCCCTTGTTGCTAAATAAATAAGCACCGTTGTTATATGGCTTCTGTAGTCCTTCCTGTCCCAACTGATCTCCCACACTACCACAGTCTGAACTCAAAGACGGCTGAGGCTGGTTTCTGGGCTCGTTTTCCTCCATTGTTCAGAAAGCCAGCTCTGTACCATATATGATGCTATCTCTACAACAGAACTTGTTATGTTGTAAGCCAATTCCCCTAAACTTTTCCATTTTTAGAAGCATCTGACCATTCTCAGTCCTTTGCTATTCCACATATAGCAAGTATCTGCTTATGCTTAACTTAAACTCTGTTGGAAATGGCACCGAAACTGTAGCTCAATTTGGAAAACTCTGATGTCGTGAGCGCCTTCAGCACTCCTATTCAAGAACAAAGGCAGCTGTCCATTTGTCCTTCCCTTGCTGCTCCATCTTTATCTTTCAGGTTCTAAATCAGGACTCAGTCACTGCGTTCCTTGAATGTGTCCACCATTATCCATCTAAAATAAGGTAGGGTAGCTTTTATGTGCTAAGTTTTTAAAAAGCTGTAACCGTTCAAGGAAAGAGACAACATGCAGTGAGCATGAGGTCTGCTGCTTGAGTAGCAGCACCACCCACTACTGACTACACTGGGATTAAAAAGGAAGCATCGTCTGTGAGCTGGTCTGGGACACACTGCGTGTGAGATGCCTGCACGTCCTCCTGAGGAGCTGAACGTATTTACAGCTATGTTCTTCAGGAGAGAGGAGTCCGGAAGGAGTGACCACCAAATGAATGAGGTCACCACTGAACTGATACAGACTATGAAGGCAACTAAAGACAGACCCTTAGAAACATGAGGGTCTAAGTATGCAGGGGAAGAGAAAATGGTTGAGAAATGATCATAAATGGAGAAGGCAAACCAGAAGAGTGATGTCAAGGGGGAACCAGAATAAAAAGCTTTGAAGAAGTGAACAGTATCCAAAGAGCAGAAACCCATTGGATGGAAAGGTCATTGGATCTAACAATTTTTTAAAAGATTTTTTGTTTTATTTCGTTTTGTTTTTCGTATTGTTTTTGGAGATAAGAGTCTGACTATATAGCCCAAGCTGGCCTCAAACTCATAGCCATCCATCCTCCTGCCTTAGCATCCCAAGTGCTGAGATTACAGGTATGCACTATCACACCTGGCTAGATGTAACAAAGAGACCATTAGTGGCAGGAAAGGTGGGAAAACACACACACACACACACACCTAACTTCATCAAATTAAGGGCAGGATGACAGGGGGAAAAGCTGGCATATGGCAGGCACCCAAGTATTTATTGGGAGTGAACCTAAAAGAAGGGGGAAAAGGCAGAATCTTCTTTACAGAATTCAGCATGAATGGAGGATGAGAGCTTGCAGAGTAGCTCAAAGGAGTGCAGTACTCTATGACCTAATCTCATCCCACAAATCAGCTCCTTAGTAGACAGAACAGCAAGCAGTAAAATGGGTACGATTCTTTGTTTATGTCATACAGCAATTAATTGGCAAAGCTGAAATTTGAGTCCATGCATGCCTGATTCAAAGCTCAGGCTCTTAACTATTTTCCCCAAAATAATCCAGAACAAGGCACCTGTGCTATTGCTACTCCGTATGCGCTTCGAGTTGGGGCAGTACAGAAAGAAAGACTTGGTAGCATTATGCCCTCCACTGCTCCAGCTCTGCACAGGTCATCACAGCCTGCTCAACTCTAAAAACAACTTCCTCACTTCCTTTTCTCCTCTCTTGGAGAAGGGGTTATGACCGAAAAAAGCTCAGGTAATGCAACTGTGCTGGTCCCATCAGGGGAAACAGCTCAAGTATTTCTGACAGGAAATTACTGACGGCATGGCTTTGGCCAAAAGGAATTCTGCAACCATTTAACTGACTCTTAGAAAATGAGATCTTCCAAAGAGATCACCGAGATACACTTCCCTGTCATCTTCTTCCCTGTCAGAGTCTACTATAGGAACCATTTAGACTAAAATGCCCCATTTCTCACTGTGACACTTTGCCTCAGGATCACATGTCTCTATAAAAGTTTCTCTATTGAACTGTGCTTCAGACATTTTTCTAGGAGCGGGAAGAGAAAAAGAGGGTTACTTGTCTTCCTGGATCCAAGGTAAAAATGGAAAAAAGCAAGTTGATTTGCTTTGAAATGCAAAAGACCACTGTGTCATTCTGTCCCAGTCCCCTAGGAACCAAGGATACCCTTGTAGTATCACTGCTTCCCATTTTCGATCCTTGAAAAACAGCACTTGTTTTCCAGAATCACGGGAAGGCCTGCTCCTCTACAGTAATCTACAAGACAATCTTCCAAGACCAACAGTAGGGCCATGCCAACCAGAAGCATGCAGGCCTTTTGTTGTTATTTTTAAGGCACTCTGGCTCCTATCTCCTTGAGATCAGCAAGTAGAGAGAAGTTTAAAAAAGTTTAAAAAATAAAAAAAGAAGTTAGTTTGTGTCATATCCTAAAATAGGTCCAAGCCACTTTTCCACTTCAGCTACAGACATGTTCTTCCTCAAAGCATAGTCCTCAATCTGTAAGAGACAAAAGCACCTTATTAAATTACAATACTAAGACACTTGAGGCTCAAGTTTCCACAGGTTTTGCCAAGAAACTTGAGTGCCTTCCATTTCCTATCTTAATAACATGGAGACAGATATTTTTCTGCTCAGAAGCTAGCTGTGTGGCACATGGGTGTTGGGAAGGACTAGGTCTGGGGTAATAGGCCAAGATTAAATTAAGACACTATCTGAGGTAAATTTTTTCACCCCCACCCTTCACTTTATTTTTGTATCCATTTAAAATAAAATAGGTTCTAGAGTTCCCCATAAAACAAGACAGGCATCTAAAGACACTGCAAACTTACCTGATCCTTGGAAATTTTCCCCACAGCAAAATATTTGGAATTCAAATTGGAGAAGTAGAGCCCTGATACTGCTGAGGCAGGTGTCATGGCCAAGGACTCTGTTAACCGAATGCCTAGAGAGTGCAACACAGATGCTTGTTACCGGGCAGTAGGCATGGGGCACGGGTGGAGCTAGTATTGAATGGACAATGGTGGAACCAGTGAATGAAGGTAAACTCAACTCTTGCCGTTAAGTTGACACTCATGTGTCACAGCACAAAAGCTGAGACCAGATGAGTCTAGCAAACTCCTGCCAGATGGAAAAACAAACTCTGCACATGCCTCTCTCCAGGGAGGACAGGACTGGAAAAGGTCCTCTATATTACTCCTCAATCTTCCAAGATCTATTCTCAGCTAGAAGAACTAATCCTGGAGCTGACAGGACCATCTGAAGGGCTCTGGGGCCCATAAAACTAGGGGGGACAGATAAGTGATGCCAGCGAAAACACAAGCCCACCTCAGCACTGTGAGGAAAGTGATACCTTCTCCTGGGACACTCTAGGCCATCCTCTCTGCACCACTCACTGTATGCACCAGGAGACAAGGCCCACAAGGTCAAAGGCCCTAAACTATGGGAAATGGGACCCCAGATCTCCTGGGTCAACTATTCTGCTGACCCAGATCCAACACAGCCCATAGGTCCTCACTGAACTCTAGATCTTGACTTAGCTTTGATGAAATGTTCATGGTTAATTCCACTGAAAACTGAGACTGGACCATCTCAACCATGGTTTATGTAATATGGGCCAGAACCTGCATCAGATGGGCAACATAGCTACAAACCCAGACCTTTCTGCCCTGGGCCAAGGATGCTGAGGCCATCTCAATAGGGCATATGTCACCTTTTCAAACACAGAAGAATTATGATTAATGTAAAGCATAACTGTTAATCATAGTGTAGAAAGAGAAAAAGGAGCTGAAGGGAAACCTGCACGCTCTGCAAGCTTGCTATCCAGACATCATCTGTGAGCAAGCTCAGCCTGAGGCGGGCAGTACTACCAACAGGACAGACAGGAGGGGTGAAAGACACCAGCCACAGAAAACTAGAGTGAGGGCACAGAAAGTATAAGTCACTCAGATTTCCTGTGACGGGTCAACTAATTTAAACTCATAAATCTAAAATGATGATATAAAAATACAATATAGTAGTATAATATAAAGTATCAGAAAAATATTAGCTGAAAGTAAGAAAAGATGGGACAGGGGATGATTTCACCATAAGCTTTCCCATTTAAAAACAGTCTTTGGGCCAGGGATACAGCTCAGCGTCACAGTGTCTGTGTGGCAAGCGTGACATTGTGAGTTGGAGTCCCGGTACAAAGAAAAAAAAATCTTTAACGATAGGCGCCATTACATTGGTAAGTGTCCACTCAGTGAAGTAAACAGACGCTGCCACGCCCCACACACCTGTGCACTGCTCAATGCTGGCCAGTCGCCACATGGTGAGCTTCTCAGTGTGGTCAGGCTGGCTGGGGTACCCGGGAGCTGGCCGGATGCCTTCATACCGGAGCCTGCGCAAGTCGGCAACATCCAGCTGCTCACTGGCACTGTAGGCCCAGAGTTCTTTGCGAACCCTCTCATGGAGCTCCTCTGCGAAGGCCTGGAATACAGAGCAGAGGCATCCTGAGGCTTCCAGCCTTCCTCAGCAGACTCACCAGGGCAATTCTGGCATGAGGCAGACAGGCTAGATTCTCAGGTGACCATACTTCTGCGGGCCACTCTGCTGCTGCTCAGTGGATCCTGAGGTATTACATTTAAAGATCAAGGCCAGACCACAATTCCCCTATGGAAAGAGCAGCAGAGAAGAGGGCCCAGGACTGTACTCCTCTACGCTTGCTTGAGTGGAGACAGCCTATAGCCATGGTCCATCCTCTGCGTGACAAAAATGCACACAGAGAAGATGCCTACATTAGAATGAAGAGCTCTGAAACACGGTTCTTGTTTTTAAAACTTCACAACAAGCAAAGGAAAACATCAGCCCTAAGTCAAGAGTGGAGATTCTGAGGGTAATAAGCCAACTAAGCACCACTGGTTTTTCTTTCTCTGAGAGTATACATGAAAGCCATCTGGGGGATACATGATTTAAAATGTTAAAGCCAGTGGCACCTGATTCAGGAAGTGAAAACACTGACTCTAATAGCTGATCAGTTTTCTGACACCATCATGGGATCCCCACCACCTAGGTTCTGCCTCAGGGCCCTGGAGCATCACCACCAGCACCTTACCTCTGCTAGTCGGTCCCCCAAAGCTTTGACCATGATGCTGCTGTAGTCATCACCATCATCTTCATAGGCTTTGCTCAGCTTTTCCACCCCAAAGCAGGCAACAGCAAACAGGCCTAAGTAGTCGCAGACACCAGAATGCAGAGGTGCAATAAAGTCCGAGAGGCAATGGTAAGGGTCTGTGCTGGTAGAGTCCTTCTCGGCCTAAAACCCAAGCAACAACCAGAGAACGTAACACCAGCACACAGTGGAAAGCAATCTGGAATCTTCAGGGAATATGAGTCTTAGGGGACCGAAATGTCTCCCTGTCCTGTTCACTGTTATATCACCAGCACTGAGAACAGTGCCCAGCACAGAGAATAGTCAATAAATACTTGCTGAACAAATTGCCAGTATGATTTGAGCACAACTCCCCTTCACCTTAGGTTCTTGTGTTGGAATCTCAATTCCTCAATATAGCAATATTAGGAGGTGAAGCCTAGGTGTTCAAATCATAGGGAAGAAGCCTTCAGGAATATGCTGATGTCTTTCTTACTGGAACAGTTTAACTACTGCAGGAGTTGGGAGCCCCCCCCCCCACTGCTGTGCCTCTGTCCTCCCCTTCTTTCTTTTCCATTATGTTACACAGCAGCACATGGTTACTGGACCTTCCTGAACCATGAGATAAAATATACTTTATTTATTTACAAATTACTCAGTGTATTACTAAGCTCTTCATTGCTGCGACAAAATAGCTCAGGATATCAATTTGGAGGAGACAATACTGATTTTGACCATGGTCAAATGGCTTCATTTTATTTTTAGTGCCAAGATAGCAAGATCAGAATGGAGTGGTGGAGGCAAATGACAGCCAGGAAGGGAGCCAGGAGGGATCAAACCAGACTAGAGGAAGGGAACCAGATATAGTCCCCAAGTTCATAACCCCATTTTCCATTCCCTTCAACTAGGCTGTTTCCATCACCTCCAAATAGTGCCAACAAAGCACGATTAATCCACTGGTGAAGTGAGAGCTCTCATTATCTCATCACTCCCAGGAAGCCCACTGGCAACTAAGCCTGCAACACAATGAGCATTTCTGGGACACATTTTGGATTCAACCATAACCCTGCCTTAGGTATTCTGTTACAATCAAAAGAAAATAGAATAAGACACAGATAAAATGAAATATGAAAAATGATGTAACATAATAACATATATAAACAAGAAACCAGTTCATTCATTCATTCACACACTGACCAAACACACCCTGAGTGTCTACAGGCACTATGGTAGCTAGGAACTGAACCTTAAACAATCACATATTTTTAAAAATGTTTTCCCTCAAAACAGATTTCAATTTAGACCAACATTAAGCCCTGATACTATGTTCAAATAAAACCCACTAAACGTACACTGTGGTTTATAGCCAGATGTCCCCCCCAAAGCTCACATGCACTCACAGATGTGGCTTTTGTGAAGTGACTGGACCTCAGGGGTATGATAATCAGCAGAGGATTAGTCCACTGATGAGTTTACAGCTAAGTGTGATATGGCGGGTAGAGCCTGGTGTTAAAGGAGGCAGGTCACTGGGGTGGGCCTGGAAAGGCATACATCCCCCCTATCCTGCTTTTCCCTTCATTCAACCATGCCATGAGTGACTATTCCTCTGCTCTGCCCCTCTGTCATGCTGCGCTCCCTGGGAGTGGATCACAGACTATAAGAATGAGTCAAAGTATATCTGTCTTTTAAGTTGCAGGTGCAGTATTGTGTGTCAGTAAGAAGAAAGGAACTGAGACAGCTTAAGTTGCCATTTACAACAATAGATGCAGTTTAACAAACTGCTGGGGTCAACATCACGTGTGCTGCCCACCACAGGCAAAGTACAGGAAACAGTGGAGGATACCACAATAGCCTGAAACAAAAGAATCCACAGGATTTGCTTCTGGGTTTCCTCCACAGCCTATGATAGCTTCCACCTTCTGGGTGCCTCTCTTACACAGCTAATAAATAAGTGCTGAGTAGATAAACAGCTTACAACTAATATGCATTGATGATTATCCTATGCCTGTTCGTTATATAAATCACTAATTTAACTCGCTTAGCCTTGTGAAATAAGTGATAACCATCAGCTCCACTTTATAGGCAAGAAACCTGAGGCACAGACAGCTTGATCAACCAGTTTAGGCTTAGATCAGCAGGCTGACAGCCATTCTCTGTAAGTACTAATAACTGATGCTCATGCATCTATGGCACTGCTTTAGACTGATCAATTGGTCAGTAAGTCACACTCACAAGCTTCAGGGCTTGTCAGTCACAACAGCAAGTCCAGGCTGACGCTGGGCATACAATCCTAAGTGGCCGCAGGTAAGGAGCATCTGATAAAAGCGTGCGGAAAGCTGTAGAGCTCAGAGTCAGCTGTGCATGGAGCTGTTATCCAGTTGTACTCTGCCTATCAGCTGTTCTTTGTTAACAGAAGCCAGAGAGGCATACAAAAGTCCCCTGCAGCACAAGATACACAGGTCACGGGCCTCATGGTACTTTAGAAGGGATGGGGATTAGAGCCTACTCAGAACAGAAGACTCCCAAAGTAATAAGGCACCGCAGCCAGAATTCTGCAGCGTGTACCAGAAGAGAGCATGGCCTTAGAAGTATCTATCCAAGTAGGTAATGTAAGTACATAGTTTAGTTCTCCTTTCTCAGAGTTATTAAAAGGTGAATGATGAAAATCCACTGTATTACGTGTCCTAATCTAGGATGGCACAGACTGTCCAGATGTGAGATTTTTCACTTTACTCTGGAAGTAAAAAGTCAAGGAAGACACAGCACTGGAGGATTAAAGACTGGGCCCAGCAGAGGCTTCTGACCTTAGCACAGGAGGAGCTGTACTAATAAGCAGGAGCTGGAACTTAACATTAGAATCCCCAGCTTTGTCTCTGTGACGTCTGAGCCTGAGTGCATATAGCCAAGAATCACTGAACCAGAGTGCGTACAGTAAGGACGCAGCTTTTCTTGCTTAATTCTTCATGGTACTGTTTAAGGCCCAATTTTGACTATCCCTCCAGATATTATGGTCAAAATACTTATCCTTAGGAATTATATTGCGTTGTGATTAAGGGCAGTATTATCATTGCTAATATTAAATGACTAAAAATAGTAGTATAGCTGGAAGTCATTTTCTGCCAGTTACTACATTTATTAATGATGCTGATGAATTCTGGTCTCATTTTTTGACTGGGACAACTATTATTTGTAACAGTTAATGGGAACCACACAGACATTTTAGTTTTTTAAGGTGGGGACATGAGAGGGGGCCGTGCTGAGAGGAGCCCCTTCTCATTGCACTGAAGGCAGTCAGTGCCCAGAACAGCACGGCACGTGCACTCGCCCTCTGATGCAGACCTCAGCACCACCTCCCTCAGCCTGCATTTCTCCTCTGCAAAATGAAAACATAAACTGCCTGACACCAGGGCCGTGTGAAAGTGAGGTAGAACAGTCTGCCCAGCAGCCCCTGACCACCTGCACATATGCACATTCAGTATTTATTTCATCTGGCCTGCCCTTGCCAGCAGCCCTTGCCAGCCTACTTAATCATCTACACAGATGCAAACCGATGCTATTAAACAAGTTAGCACCCTCTTGCTTTGGAAGATGAGAAACTGGAAGACCAAGAAACAGATCTGGCATCTGGTATCTGGCACCTGGGCAATGCTCTTGTCCATCCGTGGACACACAGTAAATACTTCACTCCCACTGGTGCCCAAATGACACTGCCGGACACCTTTATGGGGCCTTCTCTCCATCATCCTTACAAATGCCTGGGCTCGGCCTCTAGCTGGTCATTCTGGGTGAGGTAGAGGAGATTACCATTTATGTCAAGCTTGGGCTTCTCACTGATGTTTTGTTTGGGTTTGTGCCTAAACCCAAAAGCACAAGCAGTGTCCTTGTTGCCCATTCGTACGCCTTCCATACCTGTTGCCTCAACCCAAAGAAAGTAGCTATGGGCTCCGCAGCCTGGGGCACCACATCCTCCGCATACAGGTGAATGTCGTCTTGGACACTCTGTGCAGGCCAGAATCCCACCACACCCTTGGCCTGGAGTTTCTTCTGACTAATCAGTATGTTTAGCATGTTCTGGGCATCATTGTACACCTTCCTGGCTTCTTCACCTATTGAGAAAACAATGTAAATTCACTTAAAGATCCCAACAATAAGTGGCAAAGAATGCTTCCTTTTAAAACCACAGCCCCTTGTCAGTCATCTTCCCTTGCCCCTCACCCCTCACCACTCCCCTCAGAGACTGCTGCTTTTGCTGTGGACACAGCTTAAGGCAAAGCAGGGGTTGGTGGTTCCTGTGAAGAACAGCTCCCACAGTCTGATTCCCCCAGGTCAAGCCACGTATAGTTTCCATTCAACAACAAAGGCAGACAGCCAAAGCTGTGGCTCCCCAGAGCACTCTATCAGGCAGAAGGCGAGGAAAAAAGGCCAGATTCCTGGCTCAATGACACATGCAACTCCACTGACTTCACAGTGACCTTGGGGGATGGGACAGGGAGACGAGTAAAGCACGGCCCCAAATCCTCCCAAGTGGCTTCAGCACCATTCCTGGACAGTCTCACCAGCTGCAGAGCAGCAGACAGGCTCCAGAACAGCCTCCCTGGGTTTTCCACCTGTACCACCACAGTGAAAGCCAGTTCCCAGCCCCTTGACCAGGTACCAGTAATGATGCAGGGGCAGCACACTGAGGAGACCCCTGCCCACTACCATGCTCCTTTAACAGAATGCCCAGGAGCTCTCTGGGAAACTGACAAGGGGCTGGTCTCTCAGGCTCTTCCAGGTTCTAATTTCAGATTCCTACGAGTCCACCTTTCACCTCACTTCGCTCTAACTATTCACCTTATGGCCGTGTGAATGGCTTTGCACCATAATCCCCTATTTCTCGGATGGGTTCAGGGGTAAGGTTAGATGTGAGAACTGGGGGTAACAATTTATCAGTTCACCCATTTCTCTAGTTTATCACCCAGTCTTTTCCCTGAGTCCTCTGGGCACAATAGACTCCTTGTGGTTTCCAACATAGGTGTGCTGTGCCATCTCATGCTCTGTCCCCTCTGTCTGGAATAGCCTTTTCTTTAATACAACTTCATGTCCCCAGGTCCTCAGTCATTACCATTTAATCTTTAAGCACTTCAAATACCACCTCCTCCAGGAAGCCTGCCATGACACTCCATCTTTATCTGAGCTCTAGAGCCTCCTCTTATGTCTGCAAGAGCCCAGCATGCACCCAGTACTGCGGGCTGTGCTACAAACTAGACAGCACGGATTAAACTACCTTGTTTTGTTTATCCCTAGTACAGAACCCAGCATGGAACCGAAGTCAGTAAATATTCATTGAGAGGATGAATAAACAAAATCTCAAATTTAGTTGACATAAGAACTGACTATAAAGTGTAAAAGTTGAGCAGATAAGTAAGATGGAAGCAGTTGCGTCCTGCAGATCCAAACAGACTGCTTATCGTCTAGTCTGGTCATCAGAGTCACAACACCACATCTTGAATGCCTTGTAAGAAGGAGGGACTCACTGAACTAACCTACTGTTTTGTCGTTAAATATCTTGGGAAAGCCTCGATTCGGGTACTTGCCCCGGAGCTGCCAGACATCAAAGAAAGGCTTCCAGTCAATGTAGGGCACCAGCTTCTGCAGGTCATAGTCTTCAAAGACCTGGGTCCCGATAAATGTGGGCTTCACTACAGGAAAGAAGAAGAGTGGTCAAAGCAGAGGCCAGGCTGGGACCAGCCCTTCCTGGGAGGGCCTGGCCTGAGAGCTCCTCACTGCTCTGCTGCCTCCCGCCCTTGGCCTCCCTCTCTCAGCCGTAGGACTTGTCTATGAAGGGAGGAACCTTAAATTACTGTAAAGGAGTAACTCTGCACTGAATCTTAAATAAGGCTATTATTCCCATACAGCTGTCTAACTACACCTTGGAAACTCTTCCCTCAACCCTTCATCCTCTACCCCTAGTCAAAAAAAACCCGACAATCAACCAAGCAAACAAGAACCAACTTGGGTTAAGTTTTACTTGTACAAATAAAGCCAATATAAAATAAAGGTCCATGCAGAAAGACATTCAAGGATTCAGAGAGTTATTCTATACAGTTTATAGACATGAAACCATAATTTGTGTTGCCCACTGACATAGATGCCCAAAGTATAAGGAAAGGTATGAGAATAAAGCCCCAAATTCAGCACTGTGATTATTTCCGCAAGGGAAGAAGACACACACAGGGCACTGCCACCGTGTATGCCTGCTGTGTGTTTTTTTAAAAGAACAAGTGATAGCTGTTTTTCTTAGCCAAATGTCCATAGGTTTGAATACATCATAATTTACATAATGCCAAAGACCTCACATACACTGGCACTGCCAGGCTTTCTGGGATAATGAAAGCAGTAACACAGTACTACCCTAGCCCAAGGGATGACGGATCAAAGCCCCAGGGGATGACTCTCTCTCCCCTCCCTGTGACTATGGAATCAGAGGCCTTCCAGCTCCAGCAAATACAGGTGGCCTGGGAGAACACAGACGTCTCAGGATACTTGCTCTCCTGTGACGGGGAAAGTACAAAGTGAGTGCACAGGAGGACAGCCACAGGAGCGGTTCCAACCTGAGCCTAGGATCTCTGCCTTTGCACACTGTGCACTGGGACTGTGCCTGATCTGTTCCTTGTCATGTTCCTACCTCACAGGATACTTCCTTTTTTGTAAACACTCTATTACGTCAGTTTGTTTAGTTTAAAAAAAGAAGGCTTGTATAGTTTCCTCAGGGGAAAAGCTGAAAAGAAACTACCAACAGTCTCCTGAGTAAAGTGTTCCCTTGCCAGGGTGGCGGGTGATGGAGGACAGTGCTACCCTTGACCCAGTTTGGCCCCCAGGGTCCAAGAGCTGCTTTGGGTTCTACCGTCTACAGCCTTAAGAGAATACCCTTCTTTCTCCCTCTACCTACTTCCTATAGCTCCCCAACACTAGGCTGTCCGCAAAACACTTGAGGTCTATATGCTGGGGCCACCCACCCCTTAGACAGCAGGGCAGGACTGCAGCTGCACACCAGACTTAAAATGGCTACCTGGAAAGTGTTCCTTTGGGCACTGTGCGCCTTTACAGGGCTATTTCTAGCAATGTACATTTTGGTTGCTTAATTTGGCCAAAAACAGACTTGCCCTAGTGCTGTTAAGCTAGCTGTACAGTGAAAGATGAGGAACGAGCTAGACATGGTGAAATAAGCCTGTACTTCCAGTAACTCAGGAGGCTGAAGCAGTAGGATCATGAGTTTAAAATCACCTGGATGACACAGACTGTGTTACAAAGCAAACAAAAACAAAACAGATGGAAGAGTAAGTAATCACAGCACAGACTATAAAGTGATTTAGTTTCTTTAAGGATTTTTACATTTATATCCTCTTTTACCTTTCCAATATTTCCATTAAATAACTCCCTTTTCACCCATTAGAAACTTCAATCTGGATGTAAGGCATTCTAGGTCACCTCAAAAGCCGGAGCCCGGAGCCGAGCTGGGATGGCCTCTCTGGGCCCTCAATCTGTACTCTCCCACTAACCCATGCTGAACGAAGGAGGAGGGAAATCAGAATCACACACACCTACATTTCCAATCTGACCTCCTCAACTGTGCCAAGCATGTGTGGAACACAGATATCGTGAGCAGTGAAAGCTGATGTGAGATAATACCTTGAAAATAAGGATTCAATTAATATGACCCCTGTTCACCCGTCTGTTTTGTATTTGTATCTCATGCCTCTCTAAGCCTCTCATAACATCTTATATATTTTATTCCCTCATGAACACCTAGAAAGGTGCTAGAAGATGGCTAGAAATACAAAAGGGAAGAAAACAAGGGAGATGAAAGTAAAGGATCCAACAGTGGAGAAAATAATAATGTGATAAGAAGTAGGCGGTTTAGCTTTGTTGCAATGTTTTCAAACAGTGAATGCAAAAAAGTCCCTTTTTTTAAAAGATTTTTGAGACCGGGTCTCACTGTATAATCCAGGCTGATCTTGAACTAACTATGTAGTACAAGCTGGCCTCAAATGCATGGTTATCCTCCTGCCTCAGCCTCCCAGTGCTGGGATTACGGGTATGCAAGATCATGTTTGACTTGCAAAGGTTATTTTCTATGCTGTACATTCCACATGAGACCTGGGGCACCCTGAAGAAAGTCCACTGAAGTGCAGTGCAGAAGAAGGTTATACGACAGATCCAAGGTAGAATTTCAAGTTTCACTCAGTTTTCATAAATTAAAATGGAGAAAATACCCACATTCATTACAGAGCTGTCTGAAGGACTCAGTGAGCTATGTTGTGCCCACCCTAGGGCAGCATCTGGTATGAGTTTTCCTTAAATGATCTTGCTTGTCAGTTATCAGGATCACTTATCATCATCATCACCATTATTATTATTATACGTCGTTCAAAGTTATTATTACACATGGTTCAAAGTTCTTCGCTGCCAGTTTCATTTTATAGCAATGAAACCGCAAACATCTCAGCATGCTGATCACACCTATTCTGTCTCCAAAAAGCCACACAGACCTGGGGGAGGTTCAGAGAGCCAATCAATGTGGAAACCATTTTTTCTGGCTTGACTTAAGGGTACATATTTCCTTTCCTGTTGAAGAAAAACAGTTATTTAGTCATAAACTCTTAGCATTTCCTCCTCTACTATGAAAGCATGACTAAGAGAGCCAGTATAGAATCTTCGCAAAAAAAAAAGAAATTCTTTTAATAAAACCTTTATCCTAAAAAGCAGTTTCTTTCTATTTCCATATGCTTTCCACTGGCACCAGAACCAGAGACAGTAGACTGGTAAGCGCCCACTAGCTAGGGATGTCACTGAAAGGTCAACTCTGCACGCCTAATAGTGAGTGAGCTTGCTAGTGCTTTCAGAGCACGTTAGGCCTGGAGCTGCTGGCCTGCAATCAAACACCTGAGGACTGAAAGGCAGAACTCAGAACCTCACAGCTCTGAGTTAAACCTATGGAGACAGAGAAAAGCCACATGCAGCATCTGGGGCTCTCTTAACAAACCAATGTTGTCTTTTCTTTTGTGCTGCGTGTTCTCTGATGTCACATCCCTAGCAGTTCACTAAGCCCTGCTACAAGAGCCCAGGAGGCAGATAAGCAGGAAATCTCCTCTTGACTTCAAAGGATCATCGAGTTCTAAAATCTACAGACAGGCCCCAACACAGGTCTGCTGCACAGCCAGGGCTGCGCCATCTGTTTCCTTCCACCACATCCTCAGTAACAGGGATCTGTGAGCGTTGTCTCTGGACACTTTACTAATTTCGTGCTGGGTATGAGCTCATGTTTTATTTATTCTCATAACCTTGGTATCTAGCACAGCATCTAACACCTATTGGGGACATAGCACATGCTTGGCCGAATACATAAAATTCCTTTCAATCTAGCCAGAAGTTATTGGGAACTTAAATGCTGAAGAAATCTCATTTGAACTAGAAAATAAGATTTCTCTGAAAGGACCTTAGGCATTTACCTGCCTCAAAATGGTAAATAAAGTCACATTAAAAACTGGAGGATCACACTTCATCACCCAAATGAATAAAGATCTATTTCTGTCACCTACCTTGAGAGACTCATAATGTTCCTGTCTGATATCTTCATATTCTTCCATGATTTCCTCAAAGTATTCTTCCTTTAGATTTTCATCTAACAGTTGAGAACACTGAAATGCAAGATAAAGTTCCATAACAACAAGAGAGCAAAAAATAAAAGTCATGCAGTAACGGGCTGCTCTGCAACACCTCCCTCAGGAAGCCTTCTCTAACAATATCTGCTCTTGCTACACTAACTTCCTCCTCTTGCTTTGTGTGCAGTACAGGCTAATCCTGGTGGACCTGGATGCCATCAGCTTGCATGTGCCGAACAGCGGCCTGGTCCAGAACTGGTTCCTAGAAGATATCCCATGGGATATCCCAGTGGGTAAGAATCAATGTATCTCACAGATCTTGGGCTATCCAGAGAGTTTATACTAACATGTGACATTCTGGGGGCTTTGGGTCAGGCCATACTTGTTTGACCTTGGGAGGACTGAAGACTGAGCAACTACGGCAAGACATGGACATTCCAGGCTTTACGTCACTGGCCAACTTCCAATAGACACCCAGGATACCAAGGACTCATGAGCTTCCTGGTGGACAATGCTCTTGTTTGCTGATATACACCACTGTGGAAGAATTAGTTATCATCTCTACCAGGAGAAGCACCAGAAGCCTGTGCTTATCATTGCTGATTTTGCACTATGTCTTTTGCCGTCACTGATTTCAAGCTGCAGCTTTTCGTAATAATTAACTGTGATTTTTAAGTGTAAAATATTTCTGAGATCTGTGAGTCCTTCTAGTAAATCACTGAACCTGAGAGTGGTCTTGGGGAACCCAAAATATGGGATCAATGTCCTCTTCAATGTTTGAAAGATACTCTGTTCACCTCTTATCACTGACATACTTCAGGCTTTAGTACCTGATTACTATAGTACCTGTCTATTAGCCATGTCTGTTGTCCTTACTAGAGCACAAGCCCTTGAGAGCCACCTTCATACCCTTGGTACCTAGCTCTGTGCCTGCCATGTACAAGCAGCAGCCTCACTAAATGTTTAATAAAAGAATGAGGCTACTCAGCATGGTCAGCTATAAGCTTTTGCCAAATATAAAAGGAAATAATCTAAGAAAATATAAAAATACTCATTAAATGGTAAACAATGTAATTCATGATTATGATTATCAAGCTAGTAAAAGACTAGCTATAGGGCTGGGGATTTAGCTCAGCGGCCTAAGCACCTGCCTTGAAAGCAAGCGGTTGTGAGTTGGATCCCTGGTACCGAAAAGAAGTTAAAAAAAAAGACAAAATAAAGACTAGCTATAATCAAAGCTGAAAATAAAGTTATAAAGAAAGAAGAAATGGCTGCTACTGATCACATCAGTTGAAATACACAATATTGCCTTATCCTTCCTTCTCCAAGATTTTCTAACACAAAAAGGAAAGGAATGTCAGTATCTTCATCTGAAATTGACAGCTTAGACTAGATGGTGGCTAAAGTGCCTCCTAGCTTTAAAAATTCATGATCTGTGAGAGTTTTCTAAGTATCTCTATTAACAATCACCTATGAATTAATATGGAACAAAATTATTTGCATTAAGGAATGTAAACAGAAAAGGCCACTGTGTCAGGCCTACAACTAGGATCCCAAATAATGTTATTTCCCTGCCTTACACTAAATTCACCTCCACAGAGACCTCATTTAGGAAACTCAGAAGAGCTACATGAAAATAAGAGGGGGACACAGACTCCTGAGCTTTAGTGTTAATTCTGATAGATCACACACCCTAAGAAAGTAAAACCTGATTTTCCCTAAGAGCTGCAGAACATACCAGGTCCTGGCATGTAGGAACAATCAGGCAGTAAGAATATACTACAGTTTGCTGGCACCTTCCACACTCCAGGGAGACTCCCATTCCTAGAGCTCCTTCCAGCCCAGTCTTTCTGGCTTGAACTTACACAAGTTCACTGTCAGGTGTAGAAAGGCACAGTTATAACTCCACTACTCAGGAGGCTGATGCTGGAGGAATACAAGTTCAAGGACAACAAGGGCAACTTAGTGAGACTATGTCTCAGAATAATTAAAGAAAAAAAAAAGGCTGGGGATGTAGCTTAGGACTAGTGACTCCCTGCATTCAATCCTTCAGTAAGACGACAGGAAGGAGAGAAGAGGGAAAGGAGGAAGTTCAGGCCAATATCTGGCTAATCTACAGAAACCTTTTACCAAAGTATTAAGTGTTTACCATCAGGTGTTTTCACACCAACCACCAAGACACTGTTAGTTTTGATATTCCTTCCTTTACAATTTTTCATAACAATAGCTACCTTGACATTTTTTTATAATTTAAAAAGAACTAAATATTGACACCTTGTGCTTTATTTAAAATGAGAGGAAACAAAACAAAGGTAATCCCCAAACCTACACTCTAGCCATTAAGTATTTGCTGTACCTCTTTAAACTCTTTTAAATACACCAAGCAGTTGCTACTGCATGTTTTGTTCCATTGTTCATTACAGTTAGTGAAAAAGACCTGGAGACAATGATTCTAGAAAGTGCCACTAGCAGATACCCAAATTATTTATCATGAGCTTTATACTTGAGTCACTTTAAAAAGTGGCCATTTCTCTGTATATAAGACAAGCTAAGCACAGCACTATCCAGCAGGGCCAAACTCCGTCCCCTGCCTGGCTCCCAGCAAAGCTCGGGGTACTGAGCTCTTCAGGACAGGGAGGTAGCATGTCTTCCACACATGGAACTGAGGTCTAACTCCTTCCTTGACCTGTTTCGGGAGCAATACATTGGGAAATATCCAACCAGGCTTGGCTCCAAATAGAAAAATTTCAGGGACATTCATGGCACGTGGAAACAGCAATGAACCCTAAAAAGGGGCCCACTGGTCACTCAACCATAGATCTGAGTTCCAATGAAAAGTAATCCATAAATAAGCTATAAGCATTGTTTTCAAATTACAGAAATGTAGCTTATTTGCATATTAATCTATTTCAACTGAAAATTTTAAAATGGCAACTTTATGATTGCAGCCCAATTTAATTTTACCCTTTTAAAAACTTGATAAACATTAATAAAAAAGCTTAATTTAGCACAGAGTAAGTCTCCTTGTGTACAAATCTCAAGCTTGTCACTTGATAGCTATGTGGCTTCAGGAGTTAGTGGCCTCTTTGTTCTTCTTACATCCTCATCTCTAAAATGAGGATAAAGAAGCACCTACCTCTGAGGTCATTTTAAGTATTAATATGTTCCCACTGGTTTGAACCACCAGCAGTACATGCGTAACTGTCCCACTGGGTGGCTTGTACCACTTGTAATACAAATGGATTTAGTCACTTTTCTTGTTTTTTTACTAATAAAATTAATAAAAAGTCACGCAATGGTACAATCATGCATGTATCACCAGTAATTCAACCCATCCAGCAGTGAGACATACAAACTATGGCCCCATCATGAATGTGTTGAATAAAATAATCTATGTGAAGCACTTAGTTCAATACCTAGCACACTGTAAATTTTCAATGATAGTGATTACTGTGTAAGTTCCATGTAAATAAATTCACAGATCTGAAGAATTCCTTTGGAAGAGGTTTGGGAAATGTGATTCTAGAGCAGGCTGTCATTGAAATCTCCCAGATTAACCAAGCCCCCTGAGTAGATTTCCTATCATCTAAAATATGAAGGTTGAAGTTCACTGGTGGTTCTCAGATTGTGCTCTTCTGATGAGAACAAGTGGGATAAAGGGCAGAAGGGCCAGCTTAGCTTTCCCAACCACACCCAGTTTCCCCATGAAATGTCAAAGATAAGGGCTCTGCAGCTCAGAACTGCAAGCCACAGGGCCACACAATCTCTGAAGATGTCTCGTGATAATAAGAAATTAGGCTTCACTGCAAGAGAAAGCAGGGCCTGAGTTGTTCACTATGTTCACTAGAAACAGAATCTATCTTGGGGGTTTTTAAATACCTAGTGAATGTTTTTCTGTTTTAGGATTGGGTCAACCAGCCCATTCTCAAACTTTATCTAGATTATTTTTTAAATCTCACATTCTGTTTGACTCTGGCAGTCGACAAGAAAGTATCTATTCACATTTATAAACTGGACGAATCTGTATGTTGGGAAGGTTCAAGTTGAGACTACCTTGGTACCACCCCTCTCTGCTTCTTGTTCTCTAAATGTCTTTGAAAGCACAGGACATGTTCACAAGATCTCCTCCTGACAGGGCAGATGCTGTGTGGCACACCATAAGCCTGGGGCTACTTTTTTATGTCTCTTTTGAACAAACAGATCTCAGGGAACATGCTTAGCTATTACTGCTTCCTTTGTTCTCTCCTATGTTCTGAAATAAAATAGAAAGGCTCATACTTACCACCACCACACTCTTGGAGGCATCCAAGACATGGATTACAGGTGCACTGTATCTTGGAGCTATTTTAACTGCTGTGTGGGTTCTGGAAAGAAAGGTCAGGAAGAAAAGCATATCCATCAACAGTGACAATTCCTACACAACTGTTGTTCAGAACCATCAGACACAGTGTGTTTCTACAGTGTTTTCCAGAGAAAGATTTCAACATGCTTATTATAATAACACTGAATTTCAAATTTCTCTTGCAAAATTGTAAAAAGAAAATGACTTTTTACCTATCCCAAGATGAGGAAAACAAGGTCAAACAACATGAATTGATAAGACTCAGTCTACAAAGAAGCCTGTGAAGAAATGAGAAAGAGAGCACCAGCCCTCTGTCAACAAGAACCTAGACCATGTGCTCAGCAGCAGCCTGTCTGGACTAAGGGAAGAACCACCCCAGCCATTTCACTTTGCTCACTTTCCCTCCTCCAGACAAACTGGGAGACCAGCCAGGGTCCCTGGAGAACCAGCAAACAAGCAGAGAACAGAAGACATGCTAACCAGCTGCTGCTCCATCCTTATGGGAGACACCAACACCCGGTCCCCCAACTCCACCTTATACTTGTAGTAAGGCACCCCAGACCCAAAATTCAATAGGAAAGAAAAGAATGTAAAAGCAACAAAATATTTTATACTGATTGACTCAGCCCAAATCCCCACTGTCAAACTTGAAAATGTTAGTACTGGGAAGAAACAATCTTTAATTCTTAAAATTACCTAATTAACTAAAGTATAAAACAAATTGCCCTCTGGTTGCAGTATATTTATACCACTAGCATAGGCTACATATCTAATGTTTCATTACAGAACATACCAAACTAAAGTGGGAACTGAAACATACACAACCCTGCTGCTCTGCTGAGATGAGAATCGAGGACAGGAGAAGCACAGACTGGCCCAGCCTGCACGGAAGGATGGCAGCAGTTCTCAGCACAGGGCTTCCATGTTTCCTGCTCTTCCCTCTCTCCAAAGTAGACGTGCTTTTCTGCAAACTTGGTATTTTCATGTTCTTTCCTTCAATTAAAGTGGATGATTTTGGGCATATTATCCAGAATATGCTACTGTATGAGAAACCAAGTAGCAGGACACAAAGTTTAATGCAATTCCATTTTTAAAAAACAAACACGCCACCCTCAAACTGCCCAATCAATCAATCTGACGTCTAAAATTCTGCACACTTAGAAAACCACTGAGGGATACATATCAAATGGAAGGCTGGGCTAAAGGTGGGAAGGGAGAGGCTACATTTTACTTTATACTCTTCTCTAATGTCTGAGGTGTTCCAGTGAGTGTAGATTACTCTTTTAAAACCCAATTGGCATCAAATATAATCCCAGTACTCTGGTAGGCTGAGGCAGGAAGACTGCAACCTCAAGCCCTGCCTGGGTAACTCAGCCACTTAGTGAGACCCTGACTAAATTTTAAAAAAGACTGGGATATAGCTAAGTGAGAAGACCTTGGGTTCAATCCCCAAAACCACATTCCCACACCCACACTGTCTCTCTAGGAAGCTCTAAAAACACATTCATAACAAGGTAGGACTCACTTTCTAGGAACACTTCCATTCATGAATAGGAAGCAGGAGCTCAGGCCTGCACAACCTCCATTCTGCAGCTGGTGGCCAACAACTGGAAGGCGCTGGGGGTGCAGCCTGGAGCCATGAAAGGAACTCCAACGCCTCCTGAGTATGCACCTCATCCCTGCTGTGTGCTCAGGGACTGTAATGGCTTGTATCTAAACGTCCCCACAAATCCCCTGGTGGTCACAGGAGAAGCTTTCCAAAGATAGCTGGATCTAGAGTGTGTAATGCTAGGATAAAGGATGTGATGCTAGGGTTGATTCATAGTGCAATGACAGGATTAAAAGTGCCTGATTCTGGGTGTAAGGGTAACCTGGATAGAACATAAGGGGAAGCAAGAGGACTGCTGTTGCTGCTTTTGCTATCTTCTGCCTGCCTTGAACAATTCCTCCTCTGTGATGCCTCTATGCCATGCTACCCTACCTTGCAGTCAGTCAACTATCAGCTGAAACCTCTATAAATCATGAAATGAAATAAACTTTTTCTTCTTTAACTCTGGATATTGGACATTTGGTTTCAGCATTTAGAAAAGTAACTAAGACAGGGATCAAACCTTGACACCACCTTCAGTATTACGTAAGAAGGATGATTTTCAAAAAATAGAAAAAGTTTTAAAGAAGCAGCTGCCTCAGTCGTAAAGCAGCACAACTCACATTAAGCTTGCTGCTTGCCTCTTCAGATGATAAGCTCCTACAGTATTTCCTGTATATTCCACTTGAAATACATGCTCTACACAGAAGCATTACTTTAAACCCAGTAACACTCAAATGACCTCTCTCTCAGGGAAAACCAGTATAACTTTATGTCTTAAAATCAACAAAGTATTTATTAAGCACTCGAGGGTTCTCAAGTAAGTGCCATCTAATTGATCTTCTAGACAAGGGCACTGAGAAGAAACTGATGGATTCTAGTATTTTAAAACAAATAAAAGCAAAGTGCTGCTTTTCAGCATAAAAACTGACAAAGCAGGTTAACTAGAGGCATTCAATTTGAGTTTCCTTAGCTGCTGAGAATGCTTCTGGTTCTTTATAAAATAATGACACTGATTCCACTTACTTCCCTCTAGGCCTTTACTTATGCAAGTTTCTCCAGCCTGAAAAGATGCACAACACTGGACTCCTTCCTTCCTGCACCCCACGGCAATCAATCTCAAATGCTGCCCCTGCCAGTCACTCTTGGACACAGGATCCCACTGTCCACCTCCCATGCTTGCCATGCGCCCATGATGTGTTAACCTCAGAAGACCTCTTAAAAAAGGTGAGTAAGAAAGGTACTCTAAGCATTTACTTCACACCCTGCCCTATTCTAGATTTAATTTTAAGGTCTTTTATAGCAGGATCAATGTTTAAAATCTAACAAGAAAAATGGAAGACAGGGAAAAAATAAAGATGGGAAAATTAAGATGGAATCAGGAGTGAGATCAGCATACAAATTCACTCAGTGAATTTTTATACATGGAGCTAAATTCTAAGCTTTTCTGTGGGCAATGGAAACACGAAAACAAAATCATGTTATATGATTTAATACATTAATTTCTAGCAAGTAAGGAAATATTTATACTCAGAAAAATTCTACCACAGTGTATGCCCTTGAGCTATTATACAGATTTCCACCTTTTTTTATATGTGACATCAAAATCATCTATATACACTACAGACAGATGATTCAGTTCTCTCTTTTTTATACCTATAGGTTAAAAAAGGGACAATCCAACCATAATTTTGCACCCATCTTTGACCCCAAATCTATAATACCCTTTCAATGTCTCTAAGGACCATCCACTGGACATCCTTAACTGCCATTAGTGGGTCTAAGGGGCACAGGTCTAATTCTGTTTATGCTACTGCAGGTTACTAGCATCTGTAAAACCTTATATTCCCTTATATTCATGAAAATCTGAAATTCTTAAGATTCCACTTGTTCAAATACACTCAGCAAAGGAAAGAACTAGTCCCTGATGAGCCCCTAACAGGTCTTAGGAGGAAACAGTCAGGGGTCTCAGAAGGGCTTCCAGACTGCCAAATGGCCTATAACCAAGCAGGCTTTCCTGGGAGCAGATGGTTTTCTTATTCAGATAGAAAAGATATTAACTATAAATGAAGAGATAGAGAAATCAAGACTTTACAAAAATTAAAACACTGTGACTCACAAATCGCAATTGGTGAGATAGCAAAAGATAAGCAAGACTTGAAGGATCTATTTGCATATTTCTGATAAAGAAAGAAATTTTGGGAGGTCTGAAGATCCAGACTTCTGCCTTCAGTTTTGCAAGTGATGAAAACAGACAGATATTTGGCAGTACCTGGACACTGGTGACTTCCCATCACTAAGTGTCCTTTGATATATGAAGTTGTAACTGTTAAGAATCATGGATGACCTTAATTTTGCCAATGATATATCTTGAAAAGCTAGTTATGTTGTTTCTGAATGTTTTTTTCTTTAATCTGGCGATGCTTACAATGGATAATTTGGTTAAGTTCAGATCTGTGCAAGTGGCAAATTCTTGATCTTAAATTTTTGAGTATAGCATCTTACTACATTAAAGATTCTAATTTTTGACACCACCATTAAATTTACATAAGCCATAATACATTTTAGTACAACTACTCATTTAAATAATCCATTTTACAACTGTGGTGTTTCTTTTTCAGTACTAGGGGTTGAATCCAGGGCCTTGCACAGCACATAGCAACTAAGCACTCTATCATTGATCTCTCTAGCCTTTTTAAAATTTTTGAGGCGGGGTGTCTCACTAAGCTGCCCAGGCTGGACTCAGATTTGTGACTGTTCTGCGTCAGCCTGAATAGCTAAGATTGCAAGCATGTGGCCTCATGCCTATCTCAAGTGTCACTTTTAAAGATCTCTCATTCTGGAAAAAAAAAAAAAACAAAGAATAGGGGCTGGAGATTTAGCGCCTGCCTTGCAAGCAGGCAGTCGTGAGTTCCAGCCCCAGTACCAATAAAAAGGAAAAAGACAAAAAAAAAAAAAAAAAAAAAAAAAAATCTCCCATTTTGATAATAATCCTTAGAACTATCACTACTGTTTCTCATAAATTAACCAAAATCATGCTCAGTAAAATCCACTTATCAACTGAGAACAATTTGCCATCCTGCCTGGTAGCTAAGTGCTTTACGAAAAACTCATTTTTCTAATATAAGCAGCAACACTGAAACTGGACTCCTTCAAGTATAAAAAGCAATTAATGGATAAAATATATACAATACGTGGTTATTTGTGAAAATCATCCATTCAGATTATAAATTTGCAAACTTGGCTGGGCCATGGCCCTCAGTTTTGGTCAGACCACAATCTAAATGTTGCTGTGAAGGTATTATTTTACATGTAATTAACATTTTAATCCACAAGCTCTGAGTAAAGCAGATTATTTTCCAAATGTAGGCAGACCTCATGAATCACTAGGCCTTAGGAAAAAAGACCAAATCTCTGCCTTCTCTATAAGGAAAAAAAATTCTGCCTGCAGACTGTTTTCCAACTGAAGACTGCAACATTAACTCTTGCTTGGCTTCAGCCTGCAAATTTCAGAACTGCCAGTCTCCAAAATCACAAAAACCAATTTCTTAAAATAAATCTCTCCAAGGAACTCAGGAGTACTTATGACCACTACTATACTTTTCCACAAGAAAAATGAACTGCATGCTATGGGACTATCAGATTTAACACTCTAGCTTGATACTAGTAATTCCTTACCAAAGTAAACAACGTATCCTGTAAGAAATATTGCAAAGGAAGTCTAGCATCTATAATTAACATTTCTCATGAAATCACCATGATCGTAATCCCAGGAAAAAAATCTGATGAAACAATGACCATGTGACAATATGTGAACTTTGATCTTGCATCTTTTACTCAAGATTCAGAAACAACTCCTCAAAATGATCTTTCAGTTCATTCTACATATATGGGTTTTTTGACACAAAACTGTTACAAGGTTAGTGCTTCTTTTCTGAGAGAATCTGTAGTTTTTCAATTAGACACTTGGTTCAAGACAGAGTGAGAAATTTAAACACTTATCTCTGTGCTAAAAACACGATTTCCCCACTTAGTGTCACTTCAAGAGATAAAAGCTTATTACAGTTCTCAGGAACTGATTGTCAAGTGAGTAGATTAAGAAAAAGATAACTGTAAACTAAAGGAATCCCCAAAAAGAGAAAGAGCAGGGAATCAGAAGTTTCCTTCCATATGCCTCAAAAGTGACTCTCACCCAAGTGAAGACCAGGAAAACCACATAATGAGAAGTCAATTTTAATCATAAGGGGAAACACATGCACGTATGCATGCGCACGCGCACACACACACACACACACACACACACACACACACAACACAAAGCAAAGTTTATCACTGTAAACCCTAACATTTAAAAAAAACACACACAAAAAGCCAGGTACAGAAGCACATGCCTATAGTACCAGTTACTCAGGAGACTGAGGCAGAGGATCACTTGAACCCAGGAGTTCAAGGCCAGCCTGGGCAACACAGTAATATCTCATCTCATAAATGAATGAAAAAATAAAGTGAGCACAAACTCACTGGTATGACTTACTTTGAAGTGGTTGCTCCTCCAATCAACAATGGAATCTTTATGGCTAATCTTTCCATTTCCTTGGCAACAAAAATCATTTCATCCAGGGAAGGGGTAATGAGTCCTGACAGGCCAATTATATCTATTATTTATAAAAAGAAAAGGAAAAAAAAAAAAGGACAGTAAGAAGGAGGATGTGAGAAAAAAGCACGACGACCCATTTTTAAATTTTTGTAATAAAGACACATGACCTGACATGAATTTCTAATTCTAAGACATGTTTTCTGTCTGAAAGGTTTTAGTTTATTACTTGCTCTTGGTAGTAAATGAGATTTATAAATTAGAGTTGCAATAATGAACTTGACACAACTTTAGAAAGCAATACAACACAAGGTATCTTTAGTTCATAATATCCCAGATTCAAATAATCAGTGTTCTAAATAAACAAACAAACAACTACACACAGAAAAACACTGCCTATAAGGATTCTGTTGTAAGAAGCTTGTCCCCATTGCATCTCCAGAGCTGCATGAGCACTTCTTCACCTCTCCCAACCTCCATGTAAAGGGTCACAGAGCAGCACCACACAGGAGCTGGCACTTGACAGGATAAATGTCCCTCCGACCCCAGTGGCCTGAGCTTTATGAGCTCATGAGCTTTATGAGCTTTATGAGCATTGATACACAGATTACTGGGGAAGAGACAGAGTGAAATGGTCAAAAGATAGTTGCACAGTACCTGCTTTGTGGTCAAGAGCTGCTTTCAGTATCTTATCACAGGGAGTCATGACTCCTAAATCAATAACCCTGAGGTACAGAAATGAGACATTAGAAAACTAGTAATAGCCCATCAGAGACAAAGTTGAATGAACATTTTCATCCCAGTCATTAAATAATGTTCTAATATAAACTGGAATCACACTGAAATGCTCACTGAACATGATCACCACCACTACAACTATCATTTATTATGCACTCACCATATGCCAGGCACATGCTAGGCTTTTTGTGTATGATTTTACTAAAATACATTCATATTCCACATACCTACCCATTTAAAATGCACAATTCAGTCAAGTATGGTGGCATGTATCAATAGTCCAGATACTCAGGAGGCCAAAGCTGGAGGATGAGTTGTACTATAAGTCTGAGGCCAGTCTAGACCACACAGTGAGACAATATCTCAAAAACCAAAACAAAACAAACCAAAATGGACAATTCAACAGCTTCTGATATGTTCTTTTTAAAAGTATACATAACTTTTCATTTTAAGCATTTTTAAAAGTAAAATTCAACGCATTACAGTTAAAATGTTATACAACTATCATCACCCCTATTTATCTCCAAAACTGTTCCATCACCCACATAGTAACACTATAACCATTAAGCAATAATTCTTCCTTCTTCCTCCTTACTTTACCTAACTCACAGCCTCTGGTAACCTCTACTGTAACCTCTTCTGTCGCTATGAATTTGCCCAATCCAGATACAGCATTTGTCTTCTTATGTCTGGCTTATTTCATTTAACACGATGTCTTCAAAGCTCTTCTATGTTTTAGTGTGTAGCAGAATCTAATTCTTCTTTTAAAGCTGAACATTTCATTATGTACAATATACCCCTGCTAGTGTTTTGATCTGGAAAACACACACACACACACACACACACACACACACACACACTCACCAAGATTCATGTGTTAAAAACCTTTATCCCCAGCAAGGCACTGTTGGAACATGGTGGCACCTTTAAGATATGGAGCCTGGTAGGAACCTTCTGGTCAGTAAGGACTTGCCACGAAGCCTCTTCCTACACTTCCTACCTCTTCCTCTCTTATTCTCATATCCTGGTCAAGAGTTGAGTAGCTTTGGTCTGATATTCCCTGACATGATATACTGCTTGTATCACTGGCCCAAAGAGAATAAGGCCAACCAACTATGCATTGAAACCTCTAAAACTGTGAGCCAAAATAAACTTTTTCTTTTTATAAGTTGATTCAGGTATCTGTTATACATACAGAAACCTTACAAAAACATTACATTTTATTTATTCATTTATCTACTGGTAGATATCAGGGCTATTCCTACTATGCTAACATTTTTGCATAACAGATTAATTTAACCCTTACAGTAAGCCTGTAACTACCATGGACTCTATTTTAATAAGGAAGGGTTCAGACAAGCTTAGCAATTTATCTAGTCATATAATTAATTAGCAGCAGGCCTGGGATGTGAATCAGGACCATTTAGGTCAACAAAAATGCTGGGTAAGTTCCTCAACGAACACCTGTTAAGGACAGAAGCCAGTCAGGAAACAGGAGCAGACAGATTCTGCACATGCTTAGCTTAAGCAAGAAAAGTTGGTTACTTAAGGCAAGGGGGAGAGAGGCACACAAGACTCGAAGGAAAAGCTGACACTGGGTGGGCATGAGAGAGAGCACTAAATTCACCGGGCAGAGAAGGCCTGGAGCATGCTCTGAGAGAGCATAATAACGCTGGAGAAATTCTCATTTTTGGAGAAAAGCACTTCCTCTCAGAACTTGAGGGAAAAAATAATGCCTGTCCTTGGAAATGTTCTGTGTTCTATTTTTCTGTTTTAGGTAGAGTACCTATAAATCAGTCAGCTTTATAATTTAATCTTACTGTATTTATTAAAAGACACTTGAAAATTACAGCATGGAATTATTATGTGAACAATTCTTAAAATTTTTTAAAGCAAGGGGCTGGGGATTTAGCTCAGTGGCATAAGTGCCTGCCTTGCAAGCAGGCAGTCGTGAGTTCAATCCCTGGTACCGATAAAAATGAAAAAGACAAAAAAAAAAAAAAAAAATTTTTTTAAAGCATGCCTAAAAATTTCTACATGCCATAATATTAGCTGTTGAGTGCTGGATACTAGGGCAGGAAGAAAACTTGTTTCTCATGATAAGTCCTTTATGCTACTGGATTTCTATCTTTTTCCATATTACTTTTGAGAAAAAGAAACGAGTAAAAACAAATAAACTAGCCCAGATGGAATCCTCAGTAAGAAGTTAAATAAGTTTCTAATCAATGATAACTGTATAACAGATAACCCTACAGGCTGTAACAGGAGTAGGATGGTATCACAAACACTTTGTGTTTTTTTTTTAACATATTGAAGAAAGTCTAGTAACCAGATTTTTTGTTAAAATAATGGCTACACATATGCTGCAGTGTAAAAAACTGGGCAAAATGGCATATTGCTTTGAAATCAAGACAAAAAGGCATGCCCTTCAATGTTGCTTTTTTTCAATATTGCATGTTTTTACAATTCAGTTAAAAGTGACAGTATGACAGCAAAAATCATGTGGCTCTCTGCTCAGAGCAGCGCTTGTCACCACGAGTGTCTCGCCTGCATGATCACTCTCCCTACTCGGTCCCTCCTCTACTACTGCTACTTCCTGCTCCTCCCAGCCCTGACACACTTCCTGTTCCTCGAATCTCTCGTCCTCACTCTGAGCTAAACCCATGTCAACTTGCCTTTTATCCACAGTTTTGTATCGTGCCATCTGAGAGACTGAGGGAAACTGAAAGAAAAGGCTTAATTTTTTTTTTGAGACATGAGTCATGCTAAGGTTGCCAAGGCTGACCTTAGCATCTTCCCACATCGGTTTCCCTAGTGGCGAGGGTTACAAGCGTACTCCACTATGCCTGACTCCACAATTCTTTTTCTGAGCACTCAGAATGGAACTATGAACATACACATTGAATTTGGGCTTCTAATTTGGAAAAAAAGAAAAATGTAAGCTACCCTAAATGCTTTAGCAATGGCATTCACTACTATTTAAGAATCTAAAACTTAGACAATGAGACAAAAAGTTCTTTTCCTCTCCAGAAGAAATAAAGAAGGAAAATAAAATTATACAGACGCAGGACATGGAATTGACCTTGGAGTGTACCAATGGATGAATGGACAAAAGCAAGAAAAATAATACATATACCAGAGGTGCAATCAAAAATACAATGAACTGTACTGCAGTTTGAAATAAAAATTCATGTTAGTGGATTCTTCATGATTTGTGATCTATGGAACACTTGAAAACACACCTTCTCTCAATCATCGCTCACAACCAATTGTACCAAACAAGACACTTGTTATACACTATTACCAGGGTTGCTTCTTGTATTGAAGATTCTGCCTTTCTGTCAGACGTCACTTCAGATTTTGTGATCACATCTCACATACATACATAGACACACATATGCCAAGGAATGAATATATGTAAATAGATTTTGGAATTCATATGTATAGATAGAATATATAATTATATATATTTAATGGAATATATGACTGTGTAATGGGGTATAATTCAACTATAAAAAAGGATGAAATCCTACCATTTGTGGCAAAATAGAACTGGAAGACATTAAGTGAAATAAGCCAGACACCAAAAGATGTTACTTCTCAGATGAAGACACTTAAAAAGTTGTCCTCAAAGTAGAAGAGCATGTAAGAGTAATTACTAGAGATGAGGAAGGGAAGGTTAACAGGGATTGATACCAAAATATAGTCACCAGTGTTCTCAGTACAGTACAGCAGCATGACTGAAGGTCACACAACCTGTTATATATTTTATGAATAACTAGAAGAGAGGAGCTTGAAGGGTCCAGATAAGGAATGGTAAGGAGACAGAAATGCTGATTACCATAAGTTGACTGCCACACACTGTATATACGTAAATATGCTGTACCTCATAAATGTTGATATGTTAATTAAAAAATAAAAGAGGTAAAAAAAAGAAATAAATCTGTGCTCCTGCATCCTTATGAGTTTAATATTTGCTATCCCTTTGCTTTCTCTGTTAGGAAGGAAGGTGGCAGGTCAGCTGTCCCTGCAATTGATGCATTCTGCCGCTAGATGGAGATGTTCTACCAGTCTATGGCCCTGGCCACTGCTTGCCACTTGCAGGTAAGCAGCGCTAACCTAACCGCCTGCTACCACTTCTTCCAAAACAAGCAAACAAACACATTCACACACACTCACAAATTCTTGAACATCTCTCATCAAATCTAAAGCCTCTAAAAAAAAGTACTGGTGCACGTGAGGCTCCTAGGCAAGATTAACCTCCTTCTTTGGCTGCATGTGACAATATTACACACTTTAAAACTGTTTTCATGTTTCACTAAATATGGTTCACTTTTAATTCATACTAGAGAGTTATATTAGGAGCGACTGGAGTACCTATAATCCCAGCACTCAGAAGGCTGAGGCAGGAGGATTGCTGTGAGTTCAAGGACAGTTTGGGCTACATAATGAGTTTAAGGCCTGCCTGAAATACACAGCAAGACCCTGTCTCAAAAAAACAAAAACAAGAACCCCTGGTGAAAATACACATATGTCTATCTTTTCACTAAATCCATATTTTTTAAAGTACCAAGTAGGTACAGGACATATAATTTAAACATATCTGTTGATAAATCATAATTTTGTATATAGTAGTGTACATATCTATTAAGTGGGAAAAGCCTCATATGTCTTTTTCTATATTATTAGAGCTATTACTAGTTACTATATTTACATTTAGTTATTAATTACATTTAGTACTTCTTAGATTAACTCTTTTGCAATGAAATATCTGATCAAGAATACTTCAAGTAGTCTAAATTACTTAAGAACAATTATGATTATCAGTATGAGATACTACAATTAAAGTTGATCGCAAGTCAAAATATATTAGAAAGTAAAATTTCACAGTACACAGAAAGTAAAATTACACAGATATTGGAATCAGAAGCCAAGTCTAGACTGCCACTTGCGAGCCATGTTACCATAAAATCACTAAAATTCTCTAAGCCTCAGTTTTGTTATCTATAAAATGAGAAATATAATTATTCTGATGCAGGCAGGGCAGGATCAAAGCCATGAAACTGCTCAAAAGGAAAGAACAATTGTGTGGGGGAAAGGAGAAAAGAAGGAAGTGGAAAGGAAATACATATTATATATATATATGTCCTTTGTGTGCATATATACGGGTATATATATATATATATATATATATATATATAAAACACACAAGATAGCTAAGATAACTATATTACTGATTTCTGATAGTCCACTGAAAAGACCATTTTGTGCTTATATAGTTTGAACAATTTTTTCTGCCTTTATCTTGTAACCTGAGCAACTACTTTGAAGAAAAAAATATCAATATATTAACCACTGTTAATCTTTTTTTTTTTTTTTTTGTGGTTTATTTTAGCCAGGGTCTCACTATGCAGTTTAGGCAGGCCTTGAGCTCACTTTGTAGCCCAGGCAGATCTCAAATTTGCAACAATCCAACTGCCTCAGCCTCTTGATTGCTGGGATTACAGCCATGTATCACGTTCAGCTATCTCCTACTGTCTTGTTTTGAAATTCTGAATCATTGTTTTTGTTTTTTCTCTTCAAAATTAAAAAAAAAAATCTCAAAAAAAAGCTATCAAAGGGAAGAAAGGATAGAAGAAAAAGGGGGGGGGGACTGAAACAGCAAACTTGTATGCAAGCACTACCTACATAAAATATTAAGTGATAAGCAAGCATTAGATTATTAGTAGACTGTTGTTAAATACATCTCTCCATCTATTCAAATCCTTAAATGTAGAAATATACTTCCCACAAAACCAAACTATTTTAGTCCTCTTCTTTCTTTCTCCACAGAGTAAAAGCACTGCAGTCATTTCATGAGATTTACTGCAGCAATGTTAAAAAGGTGGGAAAAGCAAGGATTTGATACTGGTGATCTGCAGACTCACTCAAGCACAGTGGCACTGCTCCTCTACCCTTAGCACTACCTCTTGAATACATTTAGTAGCAATGAAGGAAGAGATGGAGAAAAGTGTTAAAGTAGAAAGGTCCCTTAAAGGCTCACTGTTACTTGAAATCAGAAAAGAGAATTCTAAGGGACACAGCTCTAACTCCAATTAATCTCTCTTCTCTACTCAGAGAAAATAGCATACTGGAAAGAAGTCCATGGGACAAATGGACTGCTGACTGGACATGGCCCAAACCAGGGAAGGCATTTGTTGTATTAGGTTCTTCACTGCAAAAAATATGCTGACATCTGAACAAAACATACAGTTACTATGGGCCACTAGCTCTCACGTGGAAGTAACTTTGTTATAAATATTTATTTTTTATAAGGATGTATATTTGAAAGGGGTTTTATTTGCATCCAACATTCTAAAATCTAGCTTCTTCACCACCAAGAAATACACAGGGTACTGTTATAGGCTTTTAAAGCCAGTAGAGACAGGTATAGACAAAGCCTTCCTAGCAAAGCCTTCCTATAAAATTCCACTTAGCCAAATTCCATAAGATCTCTGACCTACACTCTGACAGCTACTGAGAGGAAAAAGGGGAAATCTGAAATGCCTCTGGCCATGCAGAGCTTGATGTTCGAGAGGTTTAGAGCCTATGTTCCCAGGTCAATCCTCAACCTGCCTGAACAGTTTTCATATTCTTTCTGACCTTAAGGAACATGTAACAGTTACTTATTTCACCTGAAAAGTTATGTTCATTGTATACAATTCGAAAACACAGCAGATAAAACCAAATAAACAGTAACCTCTAATATCCACTACCATACCCTACCTCTCTTAAGCAATAAAGCATTACCCTGATGAAACACTTGGATGCTTAAATATCAAAAGGGTTAAAAGAGGTAAAGACTTAAATTACCTGAAATTATTGCAGCCCAGGACCACTCCAACTATGTTCTTGCCTATGTCATGTACATCACCTTTAACAGTGGCCAGAACAATGGTGCCTTGGTAAGGGTCCTGGAAAGTAAGTCAAGCAGCTGAGCAGGGCTGGGATCATTTAGAGCAGACCCCCCAGCTCTCAAGAGCCAGGCAGGTGTCTACAAAGACAGGAATTAATATAACCAAGACCACCTTGAGGATAAGCCTGAGACTCAAATCCTGTGCTCTTAAGAATGCTATAAGCTCGAGCGGTAGTCAGGAAGCCTGCCTACATGGTAAGCCCAAGGAACTTCAACCAAGAGCCTTCATCCCAACATCTCAAGCAGCAGGGAAGCTCAAACACAGAACATTCCCACCACAAAATTGGCCCTCCAAACGGACAAATATTTAATGTCAATAGTTAAAAGGAGAGGAACAGGAGGGAACAGCTAGCTAATTATAAAGATGTTCCCTCAAAATCTGAAAACAATCATATCAGCCCAGGGCAGAAAGCACTTGAGTGTCTATTTCTTTGACGTGGAGTTCTGTAGACATACTCCCCTCCCTCCAGAAGTAGAAGAGGAAAGTTAATCAAGGAAAGCAGCATTTTTATAAGCATTAAGTCTGTCTACACCATTTACAAACTCAGTCATTTTAAGAACTTCGAATCCCAGGGGCTGAAATTGCCTGAGCTTCCCAAACAGCTAAACAAAGTTGAAGGGCTTAATGATTTACTTTGATGGTGTAGTTAGCAAGAATAAACTGAACCTAGAAGTGGTATTCAGTATACTACCAGTGGAAAAATATTCAGGTAAAGTTTTCTAAAAACAAACATTACTTAAGTACCTCAAAAGCAAGGGAAGAACTTGGTAGGTACAGTACCTAGTAGGAACTCTGTAAACAGTCAATGTGGGAATGAACTAGTTTTGTCTTGAAATCATGGGCTTTAAAATGTATTTATATTAAAAAGTACATTAAGCCATATTTAAAGGAAAATCTCAGAGTATACTGAAGCTTGGTAAGGGAAGGTCAAATGCTGGATCATTTCTGTACTTCGTCTTCAAGGACAAACACAGCCAAGCACAAATGCTTAAACCCAACCCAGTACGAGGCTACTTAAAGGGCCCACAGGCATGGATAAACCAACTTGCCTCTTCTTCTACAGTGCCGTTAATGACTCTCTTCTCTTCTCTTTCCTTTTCCATGAAGGGGATTAGGTGACCAACAGCCTTCTTCATGACCCGAGCTGACTTTATAACCTGAGAAAAGAACACAGACAGGTTATCTGATTAACCATTCCAACTACCAGTCATTCCAAAATACAACACACTGCTAATGGCCACCTGTGAAAACGTAATGCATGCTCTGACCTCAGGCCAGCCTCCTGGGAGTCACTTTTGGACAGTGAGTAGGCTGAGGAATAAGCTGTGTAGGGGAAAGCCTGTAAATAAAGCACAACGAAGGAAACCACGAATAGAGACCAAACACTGTGATTTCTGTCTTCTGACCTCTGCTTGTTTGTCTCTGCCTAGAAGGCCCTCTATCACTTCTGTGAATTCCGTGTATTCTTCAAGTCCCCAGCTTCCCCACCATGCTCTCATTCCCAGCCTTATTATCTTAATGCTACACATTATAACTCAGTTAAAACTAAGTCTTATGCAGGAAGCCCTTCAGTCTTTAATATGCCATAAGGCCCCTCAGCTACAAGCTCAGCAAATGTTTGTTTACTGATGTAGTAGTGGCTGTCCTGCAACACAAACACCTCAGAATTTACCTGAAACGTAACTCTTTAACACAGTAGTTTTCAAAGTAGGCATCATTAAAGATGAGCACCAGTTAGTCAAATCAAGTCTTAATATTAACCACATATATCCTGGGTCTTATTTTACTTTTAAGGAAGAGAGAAAGAGGCACTGTGGTAAGAAGTAGTCAGAAAGCCATAAACATAAAGACTACAATGTTAAGAATTTCTAGATGACTTCTAAACTCCACACTACTCTAAAGATGAATTCTTTCCAGACATGACTCCAAATACATCTAGGGAAAGAATGAACAAATAATGCTTTTGAGCTCTTGTCCAAACTGAAACTTGAGAAAAATATCTGTAATAATACTCATTATTCACTGAAACACAAAGAAAAATTCAATTGTGAAAATATCTCCCTATGTTTGGCCAACCTGAGGCAGAAACATTTTTCCAGCTCCGAAAAGATCACCAACAACCTTCATGCCATTCATCAGGGGTCCTTCAATTATATTCAGAGGTCGGGGGTATTTTTCCTGGTTTAATCTGGCTTCCTCAGTATCTTCAATAATATATTTTTCAATGCCCTTCAAAAAAAGAAGATAGATCACATTAAAAATTGGCTTAAATCCAAGCAGCAAAAAGAGAAGAATCACAAAGATGCTTGAGAATATGAGTCCCTGTCAGGTATGGAGATGCACACCTATAATCCCAGCACCCCGGACCTGCGGCAGGAGGATCGCTGGGAGTGCAAGACCAGCCTGGGCTACAGAATGAGTTCAAGGTGAGATTCTGTCTCAAAAAAAACCAAAACAAAACAAAACAAAAAAGTGTGAGCTCCAGAGGCAGAATGCAGGAGTTCAAATTTTGGCTCTAATTTATCTAATTTATGTAATTTATTAAGCTTCAGTTTCCTCACTCAGAAAATCACAACAGTATCTAATGCATATGTTTAATTTAAAGATTATTAAAGGAGACAGGACACGTAAACTGTCAGCTGGTTTTATCAATACAAAGTGCCATAAAAATGAGCTATTAGAGAATGTAGACTCAAACTGGTACAGTTCAAACTCAAAATAAGTTACAGGCTGGGGATTTAGCACAGCAGCATAAGCATCTGCCTGGCAAGTGCAAGGTCCTGAGTTCAATCCCTAGTATAATAAATAAATAACACTTTGTGCCCTAGTATCCTTTATTTTAGTTTATATGTTCATGTGCAATACGTGTTCACATTCCTTATGAGAAGTTGGTACACGTACATAACATACCTTAATTCCTTTTTCATCTTCTTTCCCTTCCCTCCCTCCCTCTTCTCCCATCCCCCCATCTCCTTCCTATTGTTTGGTACCGGTTTGTAGTAGATAATGTTTACATTCCTTGTTCAGAGTCGGAACATGAACATAACACATCCTACCAAGAAATTGAGTAACAAATGAGAGGCTGTGGGGAAAGAGAAACCCTTCTACAGTTAGTGGGAATGTAACCTAGGACCACCACTATGGAAATCAGTGTGGAGATCCCTCAAAAAACTAAAACTAGAAATTCCATTCGACTCAACTATCCCCCTTCTAATTATCTTCCCCAAAGAATTAAAGACACTGTATTACAGTGATACATGCATACCCATGTTTGTAGCAGCAAACTTCATAACAGCTAAATCTTGGAAGAAGTCCCTGTGTCTATCAACAGATGAATGGATAAAGAAAATGTGGTATTTATATACCATGGGATACTATCCTGCCATAAAGAGTAGACAAGTCATTTGTAGGAAAATGAATGTACCTTGAGACCATAATGTTAAGAGAAATAAATCAACCTTAAATATGCATCCGAGTACTTCAACAGATTATACTCTAGTAGTATCTCATGAAATCAGAACGTTTTCACACTGCAACATTACCTAAGTGGAGGAGGTTCAAAACTCAGGTGAAGTTCAAAATCAGGAACTTCCCCTGCCATTGCTGACAAGCCCTCCACCTTTGTCCTCTGCTCAACAATTATTGGATGTGTTAGCTAGTTTCACTACTGAAATATGTGACTCTCAAAAGGCTCAAGAATTAAAAGTTAAATTCTAGAGCCAAAAAGTAAAGAAGAATTTTGAAGTTCTCCAGACTCATAAAGAAAGAAACTGAAGCCAAGAGATCATTTATCTTGCCTAAAATTTCAATTATCCATAGAAGGGCCATTGCTTATCTGCTGACAGACTGAAAGCAACTTAGTCCATGGCAGGGTTTGCAGCCTCAGCACTGAGGACATTAGGGCTGGAAAAGTTCTTGTTGTGTGGGGCTGGTGTCCTGTGCAGTGGATGTTTAGCAGCTTCCCTGAGCAACAGAATCCAAATTATCATATATGTTATATGGGGTAGGGAGCAGGCACTCTGGGTTGAGAATCAGTGGACAGCAATGTCCTGAGGCTCCTCTAGCAGCTGCTGGCACCAGCCCTTAGCAATGACATCATCTCAGTGAGCGATCCATCATGCAGATGAGGCACCAGTACTCACCTTCACGAGGGCATACTCGAGTCGCTCTTCAATGGGGCCATTCCTCCACTCATCAGTCTGGATGACTTTCTTTCCTCCTTTGCCCTGAGTCTGAATGAAATTAGGACCAAAAAATGGATACAAGCAATTACTTACTAAACTCTCTGGCAGCAAAGTAAAACAATTGTTTGATTCTTCTTTTAATTTCCAGCCTCTAGAGGCATGTCCAGCATAAATGAAGATCTTAATAAATGTTTGAGAGTGGAGACAGAAAGAGGAATCTTTTAAGGTTTGAGGTTTAGCACAGATAGAGTAAGGTTCCATCTTTTTTTCCTTCTTTTCTAAAAAACAACTCAGAACGAAAATACTCCTAACGCAGTAAGGAAGCTATACTGTAACCCTGGTAGGCTTTTAATGATCTTAACAAGGATTGCCCATCGCCAACAAGTGCAGATAGGCTAAAGAGAGGCTTAAGCAGACAGCGCCCTGGAGTGGGGCACACTAAGAAGGGGAAGAAATGGATCACATTTCCCAAGACTGCCGAATAATACGTGAAGTAAACAATGCACAGATAAACAACCTAAATACCAAAGAAGGAGAAAATATATGTTAGGGGCTGTGAGGACAATATAGACAAGGAACATGGTAATTTTAAAGCAGGGCTCATCATAAATTGAGGTGGTAAAAAAAAGCTTCTTTAATATTAATGTGACTTGTATCTTGGGTCTTACTTTACTTCTGAGGGTGACAGAGAGAGGGCCTAGGGTAAGGTCTTAAGGGGACAGATTCAGCACAGGTACAGAAGTGCAATAATAATGGCATATCAGGCAGATCTCAGGCAGATCTCCACTGGTGGCACCAGCCACCCAAGTCAGAAACCTAAGTTTCATCCCTGAAACTCCGTTCGTTTCTCACACTTAATCCATCACTTTGTCCTAATATTTACATCTCCTCCACTTCTTCTTATCCCTGCTTCTACTTTCCAGGCAACTAACTGTCCACTACACCTGAGAACCACACTTCCAATTTGTCTTCTGTGTCCTCCTTGTAACCAGGGAGATCTTTCCATTATACAAATCTGACCAAACCAGTCCTCTGTGAAAAAATCTTTTCCAAGCTCCCTACTGCTCTCAGGATACAGTGCTAACTCCTCACCATGCCCCCAAGGCCACTCCAGGGGAAATTCAGCCACCCAGAACCTTTCCCGTCCTCACTTTCTCCATCACCATTGGCCTCTAGGCCTTAACATTAACTTGACTGACATATATTTATTCAGACTGATCATGATACAAATGCCTTCCCCTGGAATGGAGGACCGGCAGCACTCCATTAACCACAACCCTTGGTCTGACTAACTCCTATCCCTGTACCTCTTCCAGGTCTCATTTGATCCACCACCCTTCCTTAGAAAGCTGCCCTGACCACTTAGATTTTTGGGTCAGCACCCCATCAGCACTCTCACAACAGTATGCACCTGCCTTACTGAAGTACTTGTCACGCCATCATTTCTATACATTTTTGCTTGTTTCAAGTCCTGTCTCAGGCCCCAGAGGGTAGGGGCACAGCTCTTACTAGTCAGATCCTCTACAATCAATGATGCACAGAACACACAGAATATAGAGGGAGAGATCTGTGAACATGAGCTGAATGCGCTAATGCTGAAGAGCTGATGTTGCTTGAGTATTTTTTATACAGGATAGTAGAGGTTAAGATGCAGGAGGGCAGAAATGCAAACTGTGGAATGTGGAGGCAAATGGAGGTGGAGACAAGAAAAACTACTCAAAATTCTGCAGCTACACTTTTTAAGACTTGAACTCAGTGTTGATAAGGACAAACATAAAGTCACTAAATGACAATGAGTATGAGGAGAAAAGAAAGAAACTGGGAAAATGCCAAAACTTAGGGACAGGGTAAGAACTGGAGTAACAATGAGTCAGGGCACTATCATATCAGAAATACTAAACAAGATGGTATTAAAGAAGAGGTTCTCCTATCACTCACCTTCCCATCACTGATACACATAAACTGCATCTGTTCCATCAATCACACAATCAGGCAATTCTTGCCCAGGCGATGCAGGTGCCATATGAAAACAGAGCAGACTGTTCCACTACTCTTGAAAAGGGGCTTGCTGTGTTCACAGAGAATACCATGTGCCACACTCATGGGACATTGAGGGGAATAAATATGTGATACAGACAGCAGCAAATGAGGACACAAAGGCCACTAAAGATTTCATTCAAGTGCTGGGGGCTGCAATGAATAAAACTGCTCCAACTGATAGCTCTCTCCCAAACCTGACAAACTTGATAAAGAAAATCAACATTTAGTTATTTCAGAAGTACACAACAGACTGCTGAACCTATCTTGCTTTCCAAACAGGTATTCAACAGGGCATTCTCTGCTATGTACGTACAAGACACTGCATGTAGTTTTCTTGGTGCCTGCGAAGGCAAGTCTGACTCCAAGTATATTACAGCAGTTGATTAAACTATAGAGCCAACACGTAAAAGGACCATTTGTGCCCCTGTCCAGCTGGCTCATTCATGCAACTGTACATGTATAAAGCTGGTTATAAAACAACTTCCTCCTGTTTCATAGCAGTTTTTACTTCTCCAGTCCACTTAGCACAAGGCCCTTGTGGTGAGCTGAGTTTTCTTCTCAAATCAAACTGGACCATACTCAAGAGAGTAGACTACTCCAGAGACAGTTAAATGTGATCATGGGCTCACATGGCTCTAAGAAGAATCAAAATCAGATCAAAGAACAGGTTAAGGAAGACCTGAGGAACTTTCCAAAACAGTACTAAGAATACTCTGGAGATCCAGATTCACTCAAGAGCAGCCCCCTACAGAGCAGGGAGCCTTTGCACCTTTGGCTCCCTCCAGGGTTACTTTAAGGAGAAAATTCCTTATATGATGGATTGTTGAATCTTGCAATTGCTATTAAGATTTCCCTCAATTCAGCTGTGCTCCCAAAGGCAAAACCTCTTGGCAACTCAGTTCAGTATATAAAAACAAAACCTTGTAAATAAGTGCTAAAACTGATATCCAACCAGAAAGAAAAACTGACAAAATACAACGCCAACAAAACCTTAAATAGAAGTGGTCTGAGAAATGAGAAGCCTCTTTTTCCAAAATGTGTTCTCTGGACAAGTGGGGAGAAAAGATGCAGTGACAGCTTAACTCATGAGTTAAGAACTCTCTATCGTGACTTTATGAATTCTACAAGCTATGATGTCCACTGGCCTTCAATAGCAACCCAGTCAAAGGCAGTTACTAACGAAGCCTCTGCCAAGCAGCAGACAGGGTATCACTAAAACCTGAGGAGTGCCCTGTCTCCAAGCTTAGAGACTAAGGAAAGGCTGAGCAGTTTGGCTCTGTGAGCATATAAACAGCCACTGAAACAGAAGCAATCCTAGGGATTATTCCTTATGTAATTAGTTGAAAAGCAGAACCTGGCTGTATTTGCAACAACCATGACAAGAGACATTTTGTCCTTGGTCCAAAAGAAACTAGAAATGTTTTAGGGAGCTGAGATTGCAGGGTCATGCACACAGTGACACATGGTCTGAGGTTTCCACAGATGGTTTCAGAATTCAAGTCATCACTGGGAAGGCTGATCAGTCAAGGATGCAATTAATCCTATATTTTCTTATCTTTCTTCCAGAACATTCTATTATTTTCTGTGGAAGAAGAAGAGTTAGGAGTTCTTGAGAGTGAAATTCAAATCCTAACATGGAAAACATTAACGAAGCTGAAATATATAGAAAAACAGCCCATCACTTTCTCAACACATGATGCAGGGAAAATGTCCTTTTTAGTCATTACTCTTACACAAACTAAAAGGAGTTATTTCTTTAATGTAAAGAGCTTATCTTTCTTTAATTTGAATTCTAGGGAACAGCATCCAAGACTGATACTTACTGAGCTTAGCACTATGCCAATATATAAGTAGAAACTAGGATGATTTTTCAGTCTTCTACACTTAATTCTCGTTTTCCTAAACCCAATGTGTATAGACTTCATCTACACTTCTTAGAAAAACCAGCTGACAGATACATGAAAAAAAAAAGAAGTTTAACATCTCTGGCTATTATAGAAATCAAAATTAAAACAACAGTGAGATTCCATCTTATTCCAGAAAGAATGGTCATCATCAAAAAACCAAGTAATAAATGCTGGCAAGGTGTAAGGGAAAAGGAATCCTTCCATACTACTGGAGGGAAGATAAACTAGTACATCCAATATAGAGATGCCTCAAAAAAATAAAAACAGAAATTGCATCTGACCCAACAATTCCCCTTCTAGGTATTTTGCCAAAATAGTTAAAAAAGACCACATTACAGAAATACATGCATACCTGTGTTTACAGCAGCACGACTCATACAAGCTAAATCTTAGAAGTGACCTATATTTCTATTAAGGAATAAATAAAGAAAATGTGGTATTTACATACCACATAATACTCTGCCATAAAGAATATATTTCAGTCATTTGTGGAAAAATGGATGTACCTTGAGACCAATAATGTTAACTGAAATAAACCAAAACACATAAATATTGCATGGTTTATTTCATATGAGAAACCCAAAAGTATAAATCAGTTAATAAGCAAAATAAAAGACACAATAGGAAACAGAAGTCTCTTGCAAAAGAGAAAGGGATCAAGAGATGGAGGTAAAGGGGATGAAAAAAGAATTAAGATGGGTTGTGTACAGGCACCAACTTTCCATGATGAATGTCATCATTATGTAATACAAATATAGACTACAAATAAAAAATGTTTTAAAATGCACATTGACTTCAAACCAACTATAGAACCCTGTACAGAGGGATCAGATACACAAACCTAAATACCTAACAACACTAGCCAAGTAATGCTAATGTACCATATGAGAAAATACAAGTCTTTTTATATGAATGAAGTAGGAAAAAAATTTAAAAGGTGTGCCAGGATATTGCTAAATAAGGTTACCGAAAGACTCAAGAACACAATTCTATTTTTGTAAAATATGTGTGTATAGACACATCTAAAAGTACAAAAAAAAGATATTATAATGGAATCTCAAAATGGTTAACTCTGGGTGGTGGGACTATGAGTGACTTTAGTCTTCACTTGCTTATCTGTACTGCACAAAATGTCTAGAATTAATATGTACTGCCTGATACAACAAAAATATATTTCACACTTTAAAAGAAACTGAAGTTCAGAATGCTAAAGCAGCCTAGGCATGTCTGTTTCTTTTTCTTCACCCTAACTGTAACAGCTCTGGAACTGTGCAGAAATTTTCAGTGGTCCAAAGATACAATTAACTCTTACTTCTAGCAGGGTGTGGTAGCACACACCTGTAATCCCAGCACTCAGGAGGCTCAGGCAAGAGGATTGTCATGGCCAGCCTGGCCTACAGAGTGAGTTCAAGGCCAGCAAGACTGTCTCAAAGAAAAAAGAAAAGAAAAGAAAGCACAATCTTGCTTCTATCCTACAATCCAGTAAGTCTAAGCGAATGAAAATTCAAACACAGGGAAGAGGTACCCACTGGACACTTTTCTCTCTACCTGAGCGTAACGCAGGAGCTTCTCAGTAGCTTCAGGGTCTTTATTCCAGATGAGGTCTTCGCAGAGCTGGAGGAGGTCTTTATGGATATCATCATACACCGGAAGGTTGCCTGCATTCACTATCCCCATGTCCATACCAAACTAAGGGCAATAAAAACAAAAGTGAAGATTTCCACTGGGCTCTAAATCATAGCCTAAAGTAAAATATTTTAGTCTACAGCCTTGATTATCACTATTTGACTTGCCAATGCAGCCTAAAAGCAGAATATACATATGAATGATAGGGTGGTTGTGCCCCAACAAAATCTCATTCACAGAAACAGGCAGCAAGTCAGAATTAGAAAGCTGGGTTTGACAGGGTAAGGAGGGATGTTACCATACCTTGATTGCATGGTACAGGAAAACCCCATGCATTGCTTCTCGAATGGCTTCCATTCCTCGGAAGGAGAAGGACAAATTGGAAAGACCTCCACTTATTCTGACCCCAGGTAGTGTTTCCTAGAAAACATTTAAAAATGCAAAAAGATTCTCCTGTATTGTCAAAAGCAGCTATCAATCACATCTTTTAAGTTTCATATGTAAGAGTAGAAAGTAAAAAATATATAAAGACCAAAGTAATTCAGAGCTTGATGCTACTAGACACAGACTAAAATGTTCTGTATTACAGTGTCAAAAATGCATAGCTTCATAAATAGTTGTTCTTACTAGACCTTCATCTGCCTAAGGAAAAATGCAAAATTCTACTTTGTCTTTGTATACAGCTATAACTCCATGATAAGACATAACATAAAGTATTTCTTGAAGTAACTGCTGGATAAACAATCAAAAAGGGGACCAGAGTGCACACACATTCCCTACTTGCTAAAATCACAACTACTAAAAGGCTTCTATAGCCTAAATGAACAAACTCTCTAATTCTTTATAAATGACCAATTGTAAAAGAACAAAAGGCAACTGAGATTCCTATGATGCCTAAGACAATATCAAGCATTAGCAGGCACACAGAACAACAAGAACTCTCACTGCTGACTTAAGTACAAATTGGCTCAAGCATTCAGGGAGACAGTTTGCCATTATCTGGTCCTATGACCTAATCACCCCACTTCTGGGTATATCCTACAGAGAAGCTCAGTCTCGTGTGCATAAGATGCATATGTGAGAATGTTCACAGCAGCATTGTTCATAATGTCCAAAAAAACGGGAAACTAACCTGATGTTCACTAACAGAATGGTTGATAGTAGCACAGTGACACAAAGGAATATTACACAATAAAAATGAATAAATGACAGATACAGCAACACAGATAAATCTCTAAAATGAGACTAAGGAAACACACATGTTTTATGATTATCTGAAACTCAAAAACAGGCAAAACTAAACTCTACTGCTTAGTCGGTTGATTCTTGTTATTCCTTGGTGCCCTATAGTCATTGAAAACCCTGAGTTACAGAACACTGGAACACTCTTCACAAGAGTGATTAGATGCCAACATCCCTCTGGTCATAATATTTACATCAAGGCATAACCTTGCTTTATGTGTGTTTAAAGACATCATGTTTAATATCGAGTGCTGATTCATTAACACTGAATTCATGTCACGGCCAACAGCACTGTAACTTATGCCTAAACAAAGCTTACTTAATACGTAACTTCTCCATTAGGCACATCTCCTTATATTCAAAAATGCCAGACAGTACTAATACTATGCTTGAGGATAATTTTTAAAGTGAAATCAACAAAAAGAAAAAAAAAATAAAAAGGTCCCTAAATAGATAGCTAGTTTACAGAAGGAGAGCTGAAACAAAGCAGACTGTCTTCATGTTCAACCTCCTCTGGGAAAGTACAAACACAGTTAACACTTCTGTTACTAAAAGAAAACAGTAACAATGTAGTATCAGGATGATGGCTACTTCATGAAATTCACAATGAGGTGTACCCAGAAAAGCAGAGACGTAAGGCATTAGTGATGTGCTATTTTGGTCTAAGTAAAAGCTATTATATCCTTCCTAGTTATTTATTATATCTACAACCACGTTTTACATATTCTCTAAGGTTTGTGTGATAGTTCACAATTTAAAATAGCACTGTATAAAAGAAAAACCAATTCCTCAAATGTTAGAAAAATAAGACTAAGGGGCTGGGGATTTAGCTCAGCAGCATAAGCGCCTGTCTTGCAAGCAGGCAGTCATGAGTTCGATCCCCGGTACCGATAAAAATGAAAAAGACAAAAAAAAAAAAGAAAAATAAGACTAAGACTCAACATTCTTAGAAAAAAACATATATGTTACACTCTAGCCATTTGCTAGACCTGTGTGATAAATCTGAGGTTGTCCTAGATGAAACACTCATACTTACTTTAATGACTTTGGTCGCATGGATAAAATTGATGGCATACCAATTGTGTTCCTCCATTCCAGTACCAATTGTGAGGATATTGGGATCAAAAATGATGTCATTTGGATTAAAGCCCACTTTCTTCACAAGTAGATGGTAGGCTCGAGTACACACACTGATTTTGACATCTGTTTCTGTTGCCTAGAAAAAGGAACAAATAAGTCATTTAAAACAGAAAAGTAAAATGTCATCTATGAAAACAGTATATGCTACTCATCCAAAGCACTCAAGTGTCAAAGCCTGGATTTCACAGAAATTCAAATGCTAAGCAGCCTCTAAACATCTATCAAATCATCTCAGAGGAAGAAATCAGTTTAAAGGTCCCTTTGTATTTTCATCAACACAAGTTACATGCTTTGCCTAAAAACTAAATCACAGATACATATAAATGGTTTACTAGTAAAGAGGCTTCTAAAAATGTGTGCAATGTGATAAATTCAACTACTACCAAGGGACAGACTAAAAGTAAGTGTCTTTTCCTCTTCTGACCTGTGTGCAGGGTGCTAGTATGTCACTTGGGGAACCCTGTCATTTCTTTCTCATATCTTTGTACAGCATCATTCTACATAAATTTAAAGATACATATTTATCCCCACAGCCCCCACAGCACTGGCTTATTAACACGTGCCCCAAGTTACAAATTAGTACGACCCTTCCAAATAGAGACTGTAGAAGGCAAAACAGGGACTACAGCAAGGCCAATGCTCCCAGGCGATTCCGCATCCTCAGAGTCAGGGTCTCCTCATCAGCCGTGTCACGCCATGTGCCCGTCTACTCTCCCACCCCCACTCACACTGCTTCTCCAATGCTGCTGGACCTATCAAGTTTGTTGCTACCCCAGAGTATATTTATTGTTGCCGCCACCCAGAACATGATATAGTTTTGTTCTTCGTATCTCTCAGGTATATAAACAAACATCCCTTCTTCCAGAAGCTTGATTTAATCTCTCCAATACCAGCCCAATGCCAGCTTTCCTGATGCACCTCTCTTCTTTAAAGCATCTTTCTAAAAACTGTATTAATTTAGCACTTGGGGGGGGGGTAACCAGGAATCGAACTCAGGACTTCATGCCTGCCAGGTTATAGTTACTAACTATAACCTCCACAAAGCTGACTAAGAGCTAAATCCCTGGGCCGTAACTATTCTTTTATTGTTTCTATTATAGTTGGTCTGTCTCCCCTAGCTAGGACGTCAGTATCTTTCATGCCCATTGTCACGGTATGTGCTTAGTATTATTTGTTGAGTGAATGCATGACCATTGCTTTCACCCAAAGCATTTGTAACACTGTCATGGAAGCTGGCTTTGTATCAAACTTACAACCTCAACACACAGCATACTCACTTATTATAGTCTGAATGTTTGGTTACATGAAATGTCAAAAAGATGAATACAGTATCCTCTTAGCTGCAGTTTCACTGTCCATGGTTTCAGTTATTCAGTCAACTACGGCTCAAAAATATTAAATAGAAAATTCCAGAAATAAAAATTCCTGTTTTAAACTGTATACCATTCTGAGTGGTGTGATGAAATCTCAAACTGTCCTACACTGTTGTGGCCTATCCCTCTCAGGATGTGACTCATTCCTTTGTCCATTGTATACTTACTGTATATATTACTTATCCATCAGTTACTTCCTAGCTGTCTCGCTGTCCCAGTACGATGGTGTTTATATAGTCACGTAATCCTTATTTTAGCTAATAATGGCCCTAAGGCACAAGAGTAGTGATGCTGGCAACTGCGATATGCCAAAGAGAGGTCGTAAAAGGGGTTCTTTTTTAAGTGAAAAGGTGAAGTACAGAACATGTTTTGAGACACAGTTACAGTGGTCACAGCGTAGTTATTATTCTCAGTTATTGCTGTTATATTATTGTTCTAATTGATAAACTATACTTTATCATAAGTATAGAAACAAACAGTATGTACAGGATAGGATTCCTGTGCCTGGCTTCAGGCATCTCCAGGGCTGACTCTATCTCCAGCACGTGAGGGGAACTACTGCAACTGCTGTCACTAGTGAGCCCAAAAATAACTCACCTACCATCGTGAAGGGCGCTTTCAAAGGGAAGGGCAAAATGTCCTTGAAACATGACTCAACTCCACTGAAATACATATTGTGGACTTCTGTGGAGCCTACAGTGAGTGAGGATACCATTACCTAAGACACTGAGTCTTCTGAAAGTCATTTCCAATCACACACGTCCAGCCCTTTACAGAGAGCTCTCCAGCCAAGATGGGGGGGGGGGTGCGCCTGACACAGCTCAAGGACATTTAGTCAGACTACATCTTCTCGAAAGGGGAGGCAGGGAAATTAACTCACTCATATCTACCTTTTGTTCACTTACAGCAGTCTAGTTAGCGTCTTCACTTTTCTCTCTGGTCTCTTGGATAGCCCCTAAAGCTGGTAAAGTGAGACTTCACCTCCCACTTAGGAAGTACCCCTAAACTTAGCTGATTAACAAAAGGAAAACAAAGAAAAGAGTATGTTTGGTGCCCCACTGCAGGCTTTATGAGAGGCAGCAAGCACTCACTGTCCTCAAATTTAATGAATTTTTACTTCTGTCTTTAATTAGTGATAAGGTTAAATAAAATTACAAGGTGGGCCAGAAAAAAGCAGACAGGCTACCTAGAGTCTGTGGGTTTCAGTTTAGCCTTCACTAGGGAACACAAGAGCGTTCTAGGCCCTAGGTTCAGCAGACAGCACAGCTACCAGTACTCGGATACTTCTTAGTAACCTAGCTTTAATAGTACCCAAAGAAGCCATAGTCCTCTTCAATCCTCCCACTCCCTCCCTGCGCCCCCCAACATGAATGCTATCTGGCCGAGCAGGGCATGCTAAGTGTGATATAAAGAGGAGTAGAGTGTGACATCTATCAGCATACCACAGAGGGAATCTGTGAGACATGCAAGAGCATCCTTGGAGGACAGGGATTTGTTTCCAGTCACCAAAATCAGTTACTCACTATAACCTCCACAAAGCTGACGTCCCTATCAGACTGTTCCACAAAATCTGACGTACTATTCCACTCAGCTTCTAACTGGTGCTTAAACAAATGGATCTCAGAGTGACTAAAACTTTGGTGTAACAATCCTTCCCCAGAGCATGTCGTAACATGTACCATGTGGTTCTCTACAGTCCTGTCTTATTCTTCAGGTAGGGCTGTGCAATAAACATGGTGCTGATTTCACATGTCCAGAACCAAAGTATGGTAAAGCAAGATGGGAGTTTTCCTCCATTAGGGCTCTCAACACTTGGTGCACTGTAAAATGGGATGACGGCTAAAAGATAGTAGTTGCCATGAATGACCTCTGTTTGTGGCTGTCAATTAGAGTGTATATGAGAATCACCTCGAAGGCTTTAAAAGTTATAAAAGTTGGGCTGGAAAAATAGCTCATTGTCACAATGCCTGCCTAGTAAGTGTGAGATCATGAGTTTAATTCCCGGTACCAAAAGAAACAAACAAACAAAAAAAAACCGAGAAACCACCTTGTGGGACCGGGAACTCTAGCCAGCAGCACGCATGGAGCCGGGCTAGACTCGGTCCCACCCACAGTGACTCCTACTGTCCCAGCAGACCACCACTTGGGACCCAGAACTCCAGCCAGCAGCTTGCATGGGACCAGGCTGGTCCGAGGCCCCTCCAGTGACTCCTGCCATCCCAGCAGACCACCTCTTCAGACTGGGAACTCCAGCCAGCAGCATGTACAGAGCTGGGCTAGGCTTGCCCACTCCCACCCCCTGCTGTCCCAGCAGACCACCTCACAGAACCCAGGAACTCCAGCCAGCAGCGCAGGCAGGCCTGCCCAGAACCAGGCTCCCATGTCCTCATAGCTCTGGCCACCCACCTCAGGACCTAGGGACTCCAGCCCATGATGCAGGCCCTGCAGGCCCACTGCTGCCATCAGGGACTCCCCACCTCCTGGACCTAGTATTGCTATTGATCTTTGGCTTCCACACCTCCTCCCAGAACCTTGGACTGCAGTGGATTAACCATGAAGTAGGACCTAGTATTGTTATTGATCTTTGGCTTCCACACCTCCTCCCAGAACCTTGGACTGCAGTGGATTAACCATGAAGTATCAAAAGGAGACTCAGAAACCCCTCATTTAAACAGAAAAACTCAGCAGGCTTCCATCAGTGAGGTGAGTTTGCCCCTAAAATAGGAATAGTTTGCCACCTTCAGTGGGTAAACAGGAGCAATAGCAAATCCCCTCCAGAAGTAGGCAATAGGCAAGCTTGGCAAGTGGGTGGGTGAGTCCTCCCTCCACACAGAGAGTATCAGGTAGGTTGAGGAGGGTGCCAATAAGGCCTACCCTAATCTGGAGAAAATTAAGGGGGTCTGTAGGACACCTAGAGACATAGTAGGGTACCAGCTGAGACAAAACACATAAACAGGGAAATCTGATGATTCTGAACAACCTGATAATATAATAAAAGCAGGAACTAGGGGTTGATTTCCATCAGTACTCCTAGGCTTGTAAACGTAGGAAGAACACAGAACTCATCTAACAGGCCCTGCAGGGGGAATTCAGGTGTCTGGCCCACCTCTTCATTGTGGGGCCCAGCAACTGAACAAACATCAACTTTACAGTAGGACCCCAAGATGCACACCACCAACAGTTGACACTAGTGGGATTGAAGGAAGGGAAAATGGCAAAACGAAAAAGCAAAATACAATCTCAAACATCTAGTCCACCAGGAGCAAGTACAGGAGACACAGAAATAGAGGACTTTAAAAGTAACACACAAGAAATCTCTGAAAAGATACCAAGTAAAATAAAAAAACAACTCCATGAGGCTATAAAGGAAATCAAATTAGAGTAATCTCTCATAAAAGGCAGAAATAACAATGTTAGTAAAGGAGTTGCTCAGCACAGCTAGAGAAGAAACATTAAAAAAAAGTACAGGATCATAGGAAACTGATTGAAACCTTGAATGAACAATATAAAAAACAACAGAATTCATGAAAGAAACTCAAAGAGACATCCAAGAAACAGAAAATTCTATTGAAAGCTGGAAAAACTGTTTAAATGAAGCTGAGGATACAATTTCAGACTTTGAGGACAGAATCACAATTAGTGATCATGAAAAGATAGAACTTTTAAAAACAACAAAGCAGCATTAAATGACAATCCAGCAGCT